ACCCACTGGTTTTTGACCATACTGTTATGACTTTAGTCCACTTGTAAAAGCACAATAGAGGCTTACTTTGAGCAAGTTTACGACAATAAGTTCATGCAGCAGTTAAAAAGTAAACGTGATTGTAAACGTAAACGTAAACGTGACTGTTTGTGTACGCTGCTGTTTGTTCGACACGCAAATTTTTCTCAATAAATTGTGGCTGTATCCCACTAAAAATGTGTGCTCATGGAAAACTTCTGTTAATGTACATGAAATCTAGTGCTCACCCAGCTTTACCACATTTTTTTAGTGTGTCTGCCATATCTTGGAACATTAAGGCTCACAGGTTGGGAAATAGGGTTTAGCTCTTGTTTTAATATCTGTAGTATACTAGAAATACCTTTATTAAGTGTTTATTTATTTATTAGAATACCCTCAGGGCCCGTAGGGCATTACAGAGGGGGTGGGTACAACATTTATAACACACAAGAAAAAAAAGACAAAATAAAGAAACATGTGTCAGATGCGCAAATCAGGAAGGCAACATAAGTCAACTAAAAATGTATAAGAATTCAAGCACATACAAGACAAAGATAGATAATGGAAACTGCTTATAGTTACAAGCATTGCTGAGAAATTGCAGTCTTGAATAACAAAGGGTCTGTTATTGTTACAACGGAAGAGGGAAGGTGGTTCCAATCGGCGGCTGTTTTCGGTAAGAAGGCTGCTGAAAAGAATTTGGTGCGGCAAAACGGAATGGCAACCTTATGCTGATGATCAATGCGCGATGAGTGGTATGACGGTTGTGAAATGAGGTCTCGCTTCATTGATGGATTGTGAAAAAATATCTTATGAAAAAAATGCAGTCGCGCCAGTTTCCTCCGGACAGTTAAATTGGGTAGGTCAAGGTTAGATTTCATTTCTGATATGCTAGCAGTACGGGAATAATTAGAACAAATGAACCGAACTGAGCGGTTCTGAACAGATTCTAACGCGTTAATTAAATTTTGCTGCACGGGATCCCATATAGCGGACGCGTACTCAAGCTTTGGGCAAATTAGTGATCGGTATAATAGAATTTTGAGGGACAGCGGAGCGCGAGAAAAGTTGCGGCGTAAGTATCCTAGCGTTCGGTTAGCGTTATTACAGATGTAGGTAACATGCGTGTGCCAAGATAAATTGTTGGTAATGTAAACGCCGAGGTACTTATATGAAGAGACATGCTGGAGGGGAACGGCGTTAATTTTGTAGGTACAGGGGGGAGAAATAGATCGCCGGGTTATTGACATGCATTTAGATTTGTTAGAGTTGAGAGTCATAAGCCATTTATTGCACCAGGTTGAGACAGTGTCAAGGTCTGACTGTAGAAATTGGTTATCATATTCATTGTTTATTTTGCGGTAAATTACACAATCATCTGCAAATAACCTTATAGCGGAGTTAATGCTGTCTGGGAGATCATTAATATATGTAAGAAAAAGTAAAGGGCCTAATACGGAACCTTGGGGTACGCCGGATGTTACTTTAGAAAGAGGTGAGCTATAGCCATTAGTTGTTACAAACTGAGTGCGATTAGTCAGAAAGCATTCAATCCATTGAAGAATGTTCGGGTCAATGTTTAAGGCACTAATTTTTAGGAGGAGTAATTGGTGAGGTACTTTATCGAAAGCTTTTTGAAAGTCAAGAAAAATGCAATGCACAAGTGAGCCGCGATCTAAAGCCGATGCTATGTCATTAGTAAAATAAAGAAGTTGGGTTTCACATGAGTAACTTTTTCGGAATCCGTGCTGATAGGGAGTAAAAAAAGAATTTGATTCTAGGAATGAGACAAGGTTGGAGTAAATTATATGTTCTAACATTTTACAAGGAACACTGGTTAGGGAAATTGGTCTGTAATTGAGACCAATAAAAGTATGCTTTTAATCTCTATGAAATTTATCGGATTTAGTGGATCAGCTAGTGGTAAACAGCATGTTGCGAGGTTATGAGATAAGGAAGTTTTGCAGGCATAAGATTAAGTCAGCAAACAGAAGAGGGAGCAATTAGGGGTGCTTAAGGGGGGGGGGGGGGGGATTAGAGCAGGTTTCTTTCTCGAATGACCGTAAAAATAGGCTGGTCATAATGTTTGTGATTACTGTGATGATCTTGGGAGTTATGAAATTTTCGTTGTGGGTAACACGATAAAAGTGCGGTGTTTTATAACGACTCATTAACACCTGCTCTCGATAGCCATATGGAATCCAAACATTGAGCACGCTCTCTTGCTGTCCCAGGAATGAAGGGCACCCGTCAGCAACCGGGTTGGTTGGAGCGAACTCGCCCACAACAACAACCTCGGCCTCGAAGACTGGGATAAGCGCGGCCCCTTCTGCTCTCCCATCCTCCGCATCGCGCCTTGCTGCCGCAATCATGCCTGCGCTGTTAATAAAATTAGCACTCTGAGCACCTTCTCCGACCCGACGAGGGGGGCTTTTCCTTTATTTAGATAAGTACTCCTAGAAACGTAGAGCGGCGCTTTGCCAAGCCACTCAAACAGCATCAAAGCTTGCACATTCCAGCCGTTGCTGCATTAGCCTGCATGAGCAATGTATCATGTGCCTTTGTGTGCATTGCACGTGTGGTTTACTTTTCTCTCCTCACTGCCCAGCTTCACTGCACTGACCTGGCTGCTCTGCTTCCATGCACATATGCCGAAACCCTTTTGTTTTTGTTTTTCTTTGCTTTTTTGTATATTTAGCACTGTCTGTGCTGCTTGTTGACATTTGAGTGTTTTAAATGACCTTGTTACACCACTTGTTTTGTCATGTGCCGCACTGTTTACAGCATTTCGCTAGCTCAGTGATGGGAGTGCTGCTCCAATTGCTCCAAAGAGAAATGCTGCTCCATGATGTTCTAAACAGTAATTTTTGTTAGTAATTGTTACAAACCTGCTCCGGAATGACACTCAGAGAATGAGAATGACGAACTTTTACTGTTTGACCGACTCCTCATAAGTCATAAAGAAAGTGAAAAGAATCTGCGTACTATCATTTGAGTGTGCTACTAGTGTGCAGCATTATCGGCTCCGATCTCATTTGTGCAACGGTCCTATTAATAATATAGGTCATTTGGCTGTTACATTTTTTTTTCAGCTAGACATGGCAAATAAAATAGTGTGGTGAAATGTGAAAATGAGCAGGATTGCTCTTATCTCATACCTATTATCTACTGCTTGTTTGGCAATACTAGTTATATGGGACGGTGGTCACTTCTAAAATATGGTGCTCAGCCTTTTCAGTTTAATTTGATTTCTGCCCCAAACAGTAGTATTTCAAATTGTAGCTCATTTCACTGCACATTTCTGACAACCTGTCATTGTTTGCTTCATAAAATTTACATTTATTGTTGTCTGGTAAATATATTTCCTAATAAAAAATAATATTTGTGAGATGCTTCGACAATGCTCTAAACACCATTAATTTATGGCAAATTTAATATCTGCTCCTAAAACAGCAATAGCTGCTCTAAACTAGCATTCTTTCCTGCTCCAAAAACACTTATGGCTGCTCCAAAGTGCGCTCCAATTAGTGAAAAGTCACTTCCATCACTGCTAGCTACAAACCATTCATATATAGCTTAAGCTGCTGGCTTGAGAACGTGTGTGCTAGGCGAGTTTTGCTATTGGAAGACATTAGTGTAAGTTTTGTGGGACTAGCTTTGATCCTGTTTGTTTCTTAAAGTTATAGATCTGCTAGAATTAATGCAGAGAATGGCAAACAAGTGGCTTTCTAATTACTTACCTGCTAATTATAGGGCCTTGCCTACACTAAGTACGTTAAATGCACAGCTCAGTTGCCACAAGCGAGCGTGCATCTGTGATGCAATGAATTGCCGCAGAATTTTCAACGCAGCCTTTTGCCAAAGTTCGCTAGATTGCCAGGTGCTCAGTGCCATCTTTTGTCGAACAAATGTCGCCCGTGAAAGGTGTCTGTTGAGCGAATGACATTGGGAGCTGTCTCTTCATGCATTGGTGTCCAGGGTTGTCTGCACCACGCTGTAAGAGATGAATTCCCGGTGGCTCCATTCTAGCAGGTAAATGGTAGTCATGTGCGTGTGTAAAAGTAACTGAGCATGCTTTATTAGTCTGGTATCACGACTTCTAGATAGCCGAGCAACTGTAATGCAGCTAGTCGTATTGAGCATATTTGAGGCACTCGTGCTCCTTCTCTTGGTAGTTATCTAGTTCAGCATACAGAGTTGTATATTGCTGCATTGCTTGGTGCTTAGGTAAGCAGCCACCTGGTTGCTTGTAGCTAAGTTTTGTAGGCAATTTTAGTTTTTCAGTAAGTGTTTTGTAATAACGGGCACCCTTGAGATCTCTAAAGAAATCTTGAGAATATTGAATGTGGTTAATGACTGTAGTACATTGTTAGGGTTAATAAACTTTCATAGTCCACTTTGTCTGTTGATTTTTTAAATGATTGTCTCTCTCACCTTGTCGAGCTTATCACAGTCATATAAAATCCTTGTAACGTGCGGTATTGCGGGGACTAACATTTCGATGAGCAGCTTTTTTGCAGCATATTAACAAGCGACATTTTGACAACACAAGACTACTTGTCGAAAGGTTGGCTCCAGTGACACCTCGTGTTCCAAGGAATTTCCGAGGAAAATGCCATCTTCCCCCGAACTTGTGCCTTATCATGATCACTCATTGCTGTATTACAAGGACTTAGTATACGCAGCGTGTCACGTGTTGGCAGGCTTTGTTGGTTAACCGTGACAGTAATTTGCCAGTGAATTAGCATTGCTGAAAGACGTTGGCGCGTGCACATCTGTTCGTGAAAGGCAATAAAAGTGCGCCTTTTACTAGATCTCTTACCAAATGCTGCGAGGTGTTGATAGGCATTCTTGGTAGACAGTGATGGCTGTGCTGCTTGTTTATTAACCATGCCATTGCTTGTTGTGCCATCATCCACACATGCATCTGGTCTTTAGCCGAGCCAAGCATCTGACACTATTTCTTTGCTTGCCCCGTGCAGTGGCCGCCGTGATGAATTATAAGAGAAAGGCAGCAGCGCGCAGCAAGCATGAAGAGTCGTCGTCTCGCCAAGCAGAGCCTGACAAGACCTAGTCCTTGTTCCCTTCTCCTAAGCGACAACCTAGACAAGCACAAAGCGGGGGCGCGTTTTCACTCCAGGTTGCGCAAGATGGCAGTCTCTCGCAGTTGACACCTCCAGCCCTTTTTTTTAAATCCTTTCTCGTCCCAGAAATGTGCTGATTGTTGCGAACTTATTTATGGACTCTACACCTGCCGCATCAGCTTGATGTTGCAAAGCTGAACTGGCAATTCCCCACGAACTTTTGGGTCGTGCGAGTGTGTGACTGGGTGATTGGTGTGGGTGTGGTGGGTGCGTCGAATATGTGAAAGGAGCTGGGGTCGTTGGTGTCATTCCTGTGCCTCCTTTAAAAGTGTTGTGTCTGAAATGAGCTTTGGCAATGCTCTATATCTGCAAGCTGTGTGTGTCTATGCTCACCCCTACCCCTCCCCTTTTTTCTTCCCTTTCTTTTGCGCTGTGTGAAGTGTTAGTCAGGCCTAACCTTGGAGCAACAGAACATGCAGCATTTCAGGGGGTAAACTACTCTTCAAAAAAAATTTTTTAAAGCATCTTGATTTTGATGAGACCTTTAGGGTTTATGTATATTTATGTGCTGAATTGTAATATAGCAGTTAATTTTTAATACAGTATGAAGTTTTTAATAGTATACAGTAAAACAAGAATGGGTGTTCTTAACCCTTCTGAACAAGTATTATGGTATACTTAAATTTTGGTACCTATATTCCTGCTTGACATAGACTCCCTTGTGAATGTTAAGCATATCATAACAGTAAGTTTAGAATATCCATTCTTGATTCAATGTATGCAGTTTTCATGCCAGATTATTGTAATATGCTGATTTGCTCTGTGACTATGTTTAGGAAAAGTCTTGCTCCTAACAGTGCCCATGAAATATTTCATATTATAGAAACTGCAATATGCACAAAACATAACTTCATATTCAAAATTGGCACATGAATGTACATAAACTTTGCAAGTTACGTCAAAATTCATCAAGAATTTCAGATAAAGCATTAGGGTCCATTGTCTCTTTAATCACATCTTGAAGGTTTTCACAGCTGTCCATGAATGTAAGAGCTCACTGAGTCTCTGATTTGCCATTCAGAACTGCTCGAAATTTCCCGAAGTGCTTTATTTCACCAGTGAAAATTGGTACGTGCAGTGGCTATAATAAACATGGGAAATATGGGCGACAAACCAGAGACCCACCGATGTCCAGTGTTCTGGATCCAGTGGAATGACTGGGTCAGTTCTAATGGTTGCACTCGCATTATCGGTTGGGCATTGATGCAGGTGGGCGAGTTCTCTCCGGTGATTCCAAGTGGGCAGGAAGATGTTTATGTTATCATAGCTGTGTTTTTTTTTGTGATCTTATACTCTCTACTATGTATTGTGCTTTAAAAAACTGCATGCATTTTTTCTATTATTAGTGCTGTCAAGGATCAAGGCTTGTTTACTTTTACTAAAGAACAAGCGACTGTTGCAAGGGCATGGTCAGTTTGGTGTCTTTGTACAACCACCAATTTTTCTTAACCTCACAAGCGTCAACTGCTAATTCTGTGAGCGTTGTGCCACAGTGCACAGCAGTGAAGTGAATGAGAATAAGTGCATGACACGATGAGCTGTCCTGTGTGCTGCTGTCTTCTGCTAGGTTGTTCCAGGAATTGGACACCACACCCACTTGGGAGCATTGTTCTTTGCCATTTTTTTTCTTTTCAGAATGCTGTCATCAAGTTGTAAAGAAAAGTTTGACTTGAGATACATGGGATGTGACATACACCCATATATTCTACTGTGTGTATCCGCATTTTTTTTTACTGTGGTTCATGCAGGTCGTTCCTGTGGCAAAAAGACATCTGTCACTGCAAGCCAGAAAAAAAAAAAAGATAGAAACAAGGATGAGAAAGATAGCGGAGTGGGTACGTTTCACATAACAGTCCAGCAGACAAACGCTGCACTGGACTGTTAACTGCACGCATGCGTGTATTCTCATTCATTTCGCCGCTGTGCGCCATTATATGCCATTTATAGACTCGGTTGTAGAGGTTTGTGCGTTCAGTTTAGAAAAATGGGCAGCTGTACGTCATTGCATATATAATGCTTTTCAGGGTGTGAAAAAAAAAAACATTTTTTTTTGAAGTTCTTCTGACATACCACATGTCTGAAAACAGAAATAGATGGAGCTCCAGGAACTTGATGAACTGTTCTTTTCAACCAAGTAAATTTTGCTATGCAACTTTTTTTAAAATTAATTGATGTTTGCTTAGAAAGCTTTCTATAGTTATCTCACTAACTTAGTAAATGCCCTCAAAGAGTGCACTGAATGAATTGAGTCAAGGTCAAGTTGCTTTGGTGAGCACTTAATAAACGATTGGTGTTGCCCATATCTCTGCTGATGGTGATACTGTCTTTACATGCTTGGATTGTTGTTTATAGCATTATCTTGAGACTATGCCTATAGATGGCCTGAGATTCTCTTGCCATACACTCTGCAAAGAATTGGGCTTCCAAATATTATGTTAGATCCAATAGCACACCACAGTAGTTGAACAGCTGCTGCGTTTGTCTAAATATAAAAGCCAGTGTATGCCCAGTGTGAAGCCGTTTAATATAAGTGTTTCAAGAAATGACTGATTAATTTTGAAGTGACAGCGCATCATGAATGGTAATCTGCCACTAACCTTCAGGAGGAAGGTATATAACAGCTGCATCTTACTGGTACTTACCTGTAAAGCAGGAACCTGGAGGCTTACAAAGATGCTTCAGCTTAAATTGCGGACGACTCAGGTGAGCGATGGAAAGGAAAGTGATAGGTGTAACCTTAAGAAACAAGAAAAGAGCAGAGTGGGTCAGGAAACAAACCAAGGTCAAGAATATCATAGTCGAAATCGAGAAGAAGAAATGGACATGGGCCGGGCATGTAGCACGTAGGCAAGATAACCGCTGGTCATTAAGGGTAACTGACTGGATTCCCAGAAAAGGCAAACGCACGAGGGAGAGACAGAAAGTTGGTTGGTTTGCAGGTATGACACAGTTCGCAGAAAGCACAAGACGGGGTTGATTAAAAGATCATGGGAGAGGCCTTTGCCCTGCAGTGGGCATAGTCTGGCTGCTGCTGCTGCTGCTGATGATGATGAATCAAGAATAAACTAATTTAGAATGAACTTCCTGTAATTCATCATTTAATTCTCATGGACTGTGTTGATTTGGGATGTTGCTATCAATTCTTGGAGTACCTATATAAAAATATTCTACAGCATTTCTTCCTGCATTGGTTTTCAGTACACTGCATACGTAAAGAATGGGAAATCGATTTCTCTTTGTTAACCCTTTTGCCACCTTGCAGGATTACGCAATATTACGTGTCCATGTGCTTCAAGTTATCGATGAATTCACCCTCACGCTGCCAATAGCTAGCTTCCTGGTTGGCTAATGGGTACAGGCAACCACTCCAAAAAGGCAATGGTCCCGGGATCAGAACCCCTGACTAAGATTAATTTCTTGTGCAGCTAAGAAGCTTTTCCTTCTGAGAAATCCGTATGAACTTCCTCGTTGCTTCATGCTAAAAACGGATGGTCGTCAATTTTCCTTTCTGAACTCTTTTGTCACCTTGCAGGATTCCACAGAATTAATTTACAGGAGCTGCTTACGTTAAGGCTGCCGAGTGCAGTGACGCAAGGGCCCCAGCCGCTATCGTCTGTAAGTTATGGTATAACAACTTTCCATCAGCAGCTGTGTAAATGAGGAACTTTCTGGCAACACAAAATGCGATACTGTATCTGAAAAATTGGAGCACATTAAAAACTCCGGTAGTGTTTAGTTGCTTCACCACTCTGAGCTAATGATAGCGGGAGGCTCTTACGGCAGGTGCTGATGTCCTCCCAAAAACTAGTTCTTTTCATTGCACATGGTTTTCATTGCTTCTGTCTGCTGCGTCATGGCCTCCGCGATCAGCTCTACCATTGGTTAGGTCGATTCCTTTGCACAGGGAGAGTGTAATCAAAGAAAGTGCTGGGACAGCTAGAACAGTATCCTTGATCGGACGCAGAATTTGGGCTTCTGTCGCCATCCCGTGGCATGTTAGAGATTTAACAGAACACCATTGCTGGAGGAAAATGCGAGGCGAGTCGTGCCTCCCCTTTAGCTGGCCATGATTTCTGAGCAGTGGCAAGCTGGGAGCGGGGTGTTACAGCCAGGCAAGTGTCACAGAGAGAAGGCATATTTAATATGGATGAATGCTATGAGTGAGCGCGGCTTGAGCTAAGGTTGCCACTTCACGTGTAATGCTGCAAATTATTTAACGTAAACGACAGGAGAAATAGCAGTAAACCTGGCTTCAAACTTTTTTTTACACTGTGAAATATTGGTGAAGTTATAAACAAAAAGTTTAACATATATGCCAGAAATTAAGAACTTGCCAATGTGTAATTTTTAGGCGGGTCATGAAACACCGTTATAGCAAGTAAGTGTTCATTTTGTTTATTCACACTGTAATAAGAGTTTCTAAATGGGATACAGACGGCTGTATTAATTCCGCCACAGACAACATGAGGCTCTATATCTTCTAAAAACATTTATTTCATCGTAAGAACATGAGGAGAACAGCTGAAAACACAGTTGACAACAAACGACGAAAAAGTTGTGTAGTAGTATGCACTTAGTGAAGGGGAAAAAGAAAGTTACATTGAAATTGAGGCATGGCTCCAGTAACATTCGCTTTCTCTTAACTATGGCTCGGATTGACACTTTTTTTCTGACTACGTTGTTGCTGGTTGGCCTTAACATGTGCTGTCTTTTAATGGTCTTGCAACATTTAATGTTTTGAGTTTTATGCTTTATATTGTCAATTGAGCTTGTTGCTGTAGGTTTGAAGTTGCAAAATGTTTACAACAGGTTATATTATTTTGTCAGTATAATAGTCATTCCATCTTCCTTTGCATTGTTATTTGCTCAAGGTTCAATGTAGAAATGACATTTAATTAATGGTCTTGGGGTCAGTATCTTTTTTTCATTAGTTCAAGGACCTCTGAGATGTAGAAACTCTGTTTAGACAGCTCAGCTGCTATGAGTTTTGCTGATTTTGAAAGAAAAAACTGGATTCTACCTACTATCGCTCCTCCAAATGTTTTTGCATCAATGATCCAAACTGTGATAAATTTTAAAGAAATTGTTGCAATGTAACTTCATAACTGTGCAGCAATACTGATGCCACCATTTTGTCAATTAATGGGGAATTGAGTGTAAACCAATCTAATGAGTCATTTAATACACTTAATAATTATTCAGTTGATTATTTTAGAGAGCTACTCATTCTTGGTAGATTTTTAACAGCTATTTTTCATGCAATTGCATCCCAATAAACGTGCAAGAGTGGGACATTTGCCTACTGCTGTTTTAAAGTCACAGCCTCAACACTTTGCCTTCTTAGTTTGTTATTTTTCACTTTTTCACACACAAAGATATATCAATGAACTGAGGAATTAAACCACTAATCAGTGTAAAAAGAATCCCTGCGAAAAGAACTTTATAAAATTTTAAATCACAGAAAACTTAATATAGGTTGCTTCAGTAATGGTCATGCTGAAACATTTTTGCATTTTGCGCACACGAGTATAAAATGCCCGAGATAATGCTTTCTCAAAATGGTGATGCTGATAAGTCCTCTGCAGCTTTTCCTTTAATTAGCGGTATGTTGTGTGCAGTGTCTTAATAGGAGAGTAATCAGTTAACAAATAACAGCAATCAATAGATAAGGGGGTGCTCTGTAATTGACGTAAATACCACATGACATCTAGAGATGCTAATTTACTTGGCTCCGACTGGAGAAGAGGGGCATTTGAGAAAGCTGAAAAAAGGTCCCACTGTGAGGTGTTTAGAATGTGATGATGTGCTTACAAGAAAGATAATGATTTATAATGTTAAAGATGTGATTACACCTTAGCTTTCAATATTTAATTACCCTTGTCATTGTAGCATTGATATGCACCAATTTGCTGTTAACTGTAATACATTTCACTAAGAAAAATGAAGAACTCCATTATTTCATAACATGTGCGTCGTATTACTTGCCTTCTGTTGTAGTGAAATATCTTAGTTTTCTACATCAGCTCAACTGTTCTGTAGGGCTTCTTCCCGGTCAATTACATATACGGTCAATTACGGTCAATTACATATACAGCAGATGCAAAGCATTAAAAAAAAGAGTGCCATACAAAAACCTACATCGTTTTGCTCTACGTTCACTGTACAGATACTTCTGTTCTGCTGTTTTAAAGTCTACCGCGAGCAGTTGTAACAAAACTATGCAAAATTACCATTGCAAACACTTGCCAAAAGTTCTAGCTTTGAGATTATCACGACAGCTGAGTTGAAGGTCTGGGACGAAGGACGAAATTTTGGTCAATGCACACAATGCATGCAAATGCTGTTGTTTTAAACTGCAAGAGAAGCGGTTTACTTGCACTAGTGCCATGCTATTTTCCTTTCTATTTATTTTCTGACATAAATTCATGTTTTGACTCCTTAGGTCAGAACTACGTTTTACAAGTTTGATGCGAGGTTCTTTTTCCTTCCTACAGTGCATTGATATCAATGTAGACATTCTAATTGCACACAGCAGTGATAAGCAATAAAGTATTTGTGAGAACAATACTTTCCTAAATTGCTTTTTCTGTAGTTGCAAAAGTCTTCTTTGCATTTTTGTTAACATTATAACTTCAACATGAATATATTTGCTATACAAAAAATTCGACTAAAGCTAACACACACTGTAATTAAGGATGCATTCTTTATGTATGCATAAATATGGCAAGTCCTCAAGCAGCACAATCATTTCACGTCCGCATTTTCAAGTAGGGAATGAGAAATAATGCACGGTAAGCATGCTAAGTATACAATGCGTACAAAATCACTATGATATCTAAGTACACTTGCTGTATCCACAGTTAAGCATGATTTAAGTGTGATGCTTGTATTTCAGTTCTTGTAAGTCAGTAATAGCTTTTCTCTTTTGCTGAGGTAATACTACTGTTCGACATTCTAATGCAAAGCTTATATATGATGTCTGATATTTATTGTTAGCATGTATATTATACATGGTAGTTGGTAAGACACAATTTAGATTCACCTAGCTACATGCAATAATTCATCATGCTGTGTTTGTGTATTCATATGTGACTGTACAATCATGTTTAATTGCTAATTGTTCAGTAGTCCTGTTGAGTTCAATAGAGCAATGTCCTTTTATTTTCTAATGGTTTGTTAAGCACCAGCTAACTTGCAATATTACATGCTTCCTAAACATGAGGCCATTGCAACCAGATACATCGATTAAGCAATAGTACTAGCCTTTGTGTCTCACTTGTAAAATGTGTACATAACTTCCAACAAATGTAGTAGACACCAATAGCTAACATAGCAAGACTGCGAAAATGCAAAAATGCTTAATTCATGTAAACATCGGGCACAAAGCCTGGAATTCATATTTGCACTCTTTACTTGTCCAAGTGGCCTGAAATTTGACGGGGCATAAGTCTCAAGAATGAGCAAGAATTTCTGCTCAATTATATTTAATTGGAACACATGTTTGTGATGCTGACAGAGTGTGTCTAAGAAAATATTGTGTACTACTTAATCATCGGATGGTTGGAAGCAAGAATACTCAAGTGGTGCGAAATCCCCGTATCAGGTGTTCACATTGGCCGACTGTGTACATTCTGCTTGTAGCTGTGAGTAATACATCAGCATACATTTCACAGCCTATGCCATTGATGACAATTATCAGAATGAATGGTGGTATACTTTAGGACCATGAGGTTTTTTGTATGAAGTGCTGATGACCTAAGGTAATTTAATTGCCTTCTGCAAAGAGGAATTCGTTAAGCAAGTGCACTACTTTTTTTTTTTTTTGAGCTGCCGAAGTGCAATTGTTTCATGCAGTGTGCCTTTAACCTGCATGAGACAGCACTGCAATCGATTTCTGTATTTAAACAGCAATTAACTTGGCTCTCAATTTAAGTCTGAGATCTCTGTAGGTGATGATGCATTCGTGGGAACAATCAGGCTCATGAAAGATCGAAACATATTCTGCTTTGTTTGAGGATAGATAATATCCATGGCAATTAAGCATACTTGCACATAAATTGTGTCTAAAATTCTGCCTTCGCGTCTTTATTTGTGGTACATGAGTGCAATAGTAAATAATGTGCACTGTAAACAGGCCAAATATACTGACCAATATGTACACGGCACTTTTCCAAAGGCCAATGGCCGCATAACAATACCCTTCTTGCCTCTTCTTTCTAAAATGTCTCACGCTTGATTTTCATTCACTCATTTAGATTTTTTTTTTGGCTGCCACACCTGAAATTAAGGTTGAATGTTTCCTTGTGGATAAAGTTTTTCGGGACAATTTTTAAACTTGCAAGGTTCCTTGCAAAGTGCTCTTTGTGTAAACTTTCATGGCAACTCAAAGGCACCGTTGATTTCGATCTGCAGATAGCTTGAACCGATTCTCTGCGTTCCCAATGAAGTGAGGTCAACGAAAGTCGAGCGTCAACAGACATTAAGTTAAAGCCACATCTTCTCTCGAGATACAAACTTTCAAAAAGGTACTCTTGTCTTCACTTATCCACATACTTGCAACACAGTGAGGTTTAGAGATACATTCCGTTGACCAGGTAGTCGGCATCGTGCGCGAGCGACGACCGGCCGCCTCGGCGTGCTAGCCGGTGTCGCGCCAGTCGGAGACGACAGCCGACCAACACAAGCAGGAGACCTGTGATGCAGAGGCCCAACGTGAGGGCCAGCACTGCACTGCCCGATTCCGGCTCGGTGCCGCGGCTTCCTTGTTCCACTTGGGTAAAGCTCACCTGCGATGTGAGGTGTTATCATGCTGGGAAATGTATGCTCTACAATACTTTTTGAAAATTCCTTTGTTAAATTTTCATCATATTTACGTCATATTCACATTAGATTCACATATTCACATCATATAAACATGTAGAATGTTTCAAACAATGCTTTTGCATCTAATGCCAATATGCCACAATATGAAGAGTCCAAGTCGAGGTGAAAGCACAGAGTGTCATGAGAGACAAAACACTCACAGAGGTGAAAACACACAGCACTCATACAAACGTTTTGATCCTAAACATCTCTGGTTGTTTTTCATCTTGATGTGGTCAAGGGCTACAACTTAAATCATCATCCTGTTACTGGGGGTGCTATGTATTCTGGACGCTGTGAAACTCAGCTATAATGCCAAAATCTGTGATGGTGGCATTTTAAACTACTCACAGAGGTTGTGGTAGCCCTCTCATTCAAGAACTGACAAGATGGCAAATTTGACAACGTGGTGAAATGTGTGTAACATTCAACCTCACCTGCATGTTAGCAACCTCGTGGAGCCTGCTGTACTGTACGGGTCTCTCATTCTGATGGGGCACTTCAGATCCAGCTGCTGCCTTTGAAGGTTTCGTTTGAGGCTCTGAAAAGTGATTTAGTATCAAAAACATGACCAGCACATGGCAATCGCTTTTCTTTTTTTCTGGTGCTAGAGGAGCGCGACTCACTCTGCAGGTGCTCTGTGATGTGCTTTGAACTACCTTGATGGGGTGCCGGTGGGGGTGCCACTTCAACAACAGGCTGATAGAAGGTGTCTGTGGCAACAAACGTAGGTCGATTGAGTGCTTCAGTGCAGGAATCAAGTACATAACGTTGTGGCATTCAAGTGTTCTCAGTCACAATTTCCATGATGCATAGTTGAATAAGTGTGCTAAACAATACGCTAGGAAATAAACAAAGCTTTAGCTTAGTCATTTAAAATCGGTGCTGAAATCTGTCTGAGATAGGGAAATTCAGACATGGCTGCTTCTGAATTGACTCAAATGAAATATGCTAAGTTGCAAAGAAACTACTAGGCTGTTTGTAAGTGGCCCAATAAAGATACAAACTCGGTCCTGGTCCTCAGACGTTGATGTAAATGTTATATAAATTGAAAGGTTTCAAGAGAAAATGAGAATTGCAAGATTTCAACTTTAATTGCTCAGCAAGAACAAATATTTCAGTGCCAAAATCTGTCCCTGACAATGTGTCAAAAGATGACACATGTTAAGCATTACATATTTTTTTTTATATGACATCATACACTGGTCAAGCTTAGAATCGATATTCTAAGCCCATTCCAATAAGTTACAGTTTGAACATATATAAGCGAAATCTTTGCTTGAAATAAACTCGCTTACAAATTTTCAGCATACCATAAAAGCAAGTTTAGAACATCCATTCTTGTTTCACTGTGGACAGCTCTCGATCCTGATTATTGTGATATGTTGCTTGTTTTGTAACTCTCACAGTTTAAAAAAGAATTGTTGTTCTAACAGTACGAAAAAAATGTTTCGAGTGGTGAGAGCAAAGTCACATCGGGCAGTCGTAGGTTTCATCACAGTCATAAATTGGAGGCGATTACTTTGGAATAGTAGGCTTTCATGTTGGTTAATGGCATGAAAGTATTGGTAACACCTTCGTGCAACTACAACTAATTGCTATTCTGAAGCAGAATAGTGTGCAAAAAACTGTTTTGTGCTGGAAACATGCAGACGGTAACCGGTATGTTCCCATCTGATGCTCTTGCAAGGCAGATCATAAAAGCACTCCACTTGACAATGTACGTTGTGCATGCAGTTAGTGAATAACCATGCAGTGAGCATCATCAAAAGGCCCCAAAACACTTTGTGATCACGGTCATAAAATACTGCCAACCAACTTTCAGGATTAATTTAATATCTGAGCCAGCTACTGCATTGCGCACCGCACGAAATTTACAGTTTCTTGTCAAGAACAGCCAAAGGTCACTTGCCTTAGCTATGCCATCATCAACTACGCAGTAAATGGGGGAGCAAGTGGGTATGACAGGTATTGACTGATTTAAGGAATGACGCACCAGTCGAATGACTTGAAAGTACTGTGCCCACCACAAAATACTTCTACATGCCAGTGCTGTGCGTGTTCAAATTCGAAACAGTAGCCAATACGGTCAGAGAAAAAAAAGAGACACACCGTGATGTGTAGAAATGTAACCTCTTGGTGGTGCATTTTCTCTTGCCATCCCCTTAACCCCTGTGTGGGTGTGTAGCAGATGTATGTAAAAACGGAAGAAGAAAAGATGCAGGTGGTATTCGTGTGATAATTTCACTTAATCTTGACAGAATCGATAAATTTGTGCAGCGGCAAATACGTGAGGCAGCAGAGTTCTAAAGTAGGGTCATTCTATGATAACTCATGGAATGGTCACAGGGCATCTTTAAGGGTTCTTGATCATAAATGTCAGCAAGGGGTGCCTCACCGTCTTCGTTGGCAGCTGGTGCGACTGGCTTGGCTGGCATCACGGGATGCGGCTCGAGCTTTCGCTGCTCCTGAGCTTGTGGCTCCAGCGGTGAGTCGGGCTGCGAATCTTGTGCGAGGCCCTGTTGCTGGCCTATGGTTTGATCTGCAAGCTTGCTGCCTTGCATATTCTGCGCCAAGGCCGGCACTGGTGGATTTGAATGGCCTCCTCCAATGCCGGGGTGCAGTCGTCGACTGTAAGGAGCCAGGGTTGGAGCGTATGGCTGCGGCCCATAGCTGTCACTTTGATCCACTGGACCCAAGGGCCTGCAGAAGTGCAGCATGTGAATTGGATCTGGTGAATAAACTAGCAAGCCACGCACATGCAGCTTTCTCCTCTGGCCCTCCAGGCTATTTCTGAAGTTTCTGTCTACCATAGGATACTTGGCATAGCGTGAAGCCGAACAACGCCTACGTGGCCTCCGCCTTCTCTAGTCAAAACCACTGTCCCCTTGCCCCCACCCTTTTTTTTCTGTAAAGGAAGAAAGGCTATGTTACCGCTAGAGGCTCTGTAAAAACCTAAGACCCAACTGGGCTCAGTTGTGATCTGACTGACCATTCTATTCCCAGTTTATTTATTTATTTAAAAATACTGCCAATCCCTTGTCAAGATTTTCGCAGAAAGGACATCGGGAAAACATACAATAAAAGCACATAATAAAAACATCCGTAAGTTATACATCGTTTAGGATACGCGTTACATAGATGCAACCAAGTTCTCACAATTTCTAACAATCAAATTCAAACAAATTTTAACCAAATTCTAACAACAAAGTTCTAACAGTAATTGTACTATATCCAAATGATTACAGTGTGGAAGAGTCAAAGTAACACAGTCTAAAACAATGGATTTTGCAAAGATGACCACAATAGCGCAATATTAGGGTTCCAAACGCAAGTGTTCTTCAACAAGACGTGAAAAAATATTTAAAGAATTGATGTTAGTAATCATAGCTGCTAAGCTGTTCCATTCCCTTATTGATGCTGGGAAGAATGAGTGTTTGAAACATTCCGTACGTAATGCGTATTCTTGTAGCATTTCGGGGTGCTTCTTACGGGTGGGTCGTGATTGTTGAAGTGTAATGTACCTGGAGGCATCGATGTTGGTTTGCTTATGGCGTAGCTGGTACATGAATCGTAGGCGTGCTAGTCTTGCTCGTTTTTGCAGCGTTAGCATGCCCGCTTCTTCGAGCATTTCAGTTGGTGAGTCTGTTTGCCTAAACTTGTTAAAAATAAATCGAACAGCTTTTCTTTGCACGCCTTTTAGCTTCGCAATATGTTTTTTTGTGTACGGGAACCAAACAATGTTCGCATATTCAAGAGCAGATCTCACGTACGTGTTGTAGGCTAACAGTTTAATTTCAGAAGGTGCTAGTCGAAGGCATCGTCTCAGAAAAAAAAGTCGTTTCAGTGCGGTAGCTGTAACGTTAGAAACGTGGGCATCCCATCTCAGATCGCTAGTAAAGGTGAGGCCAAGGTGCTTATGATGACTTGTTCTAGGAAGTGGGATACTATTGATGGTATATGAGAACTCTGACCATTCCCTTTTTCTTGTTACTGTCATTATAGCTGATTTTTTAACATTAAGTATCATTTGCCAATCTGAACACCAGTTTGATACTATTTCGAGGGCATTGTTTAAGGCAAGATGATCTTCTGCAGAGTTTATTTCATGATAAATTATACAATCATCCGCGAAAAGTCTGACGTGGACGGGAATTTGACAGGGTAGGTCATTGATAAAAATTAGGAATAAGGTCGGAGCAAGAACACAACCCTGGGGAACACCGGATTTGACGGGAACTGTTGTGGATACTTCAAACCAGTAGTTGTTGTGGATAGTTCAAACCAGTACGGGTGCAACGTGTTTCGGTACTGGTAGTTCTAGGATGGAGAAGATTTTATTGTCAAGATAACTGCTATGCAGATATCTAGTCTTCATTATTTTGTAATCTGAATACTGGGACAGGAACAAACAGCTCATATTTCAGGAGAGACACTTCTACCTGTTCTAATTGTTCTGACCGTATTACATCCTATTCGTTAGGTATGAGCCTACAAGCTCATCAAAAGTACTGGTTTGTTACATTTATTCTGCAGTATGCTTTGCATTCTATTCTGCCCCTACTGTAATTAGTACGAACAAGGTATCCCAGCTGTGAACCAATTTTTGGTTGCGACCATTAGCATCTGCACAGAGAGTTGTGGGGGGGGGGGCACTACCTCTGACCCTTCTGTAAAATGGAGTTTCTCCCTCCTCAATCGTCTAAGGCAGGTCTCAACTCTGTCACACATCTTTACTCAGTCAGACCTGTCTCGTGACTTTAATGTGCAGGGTTAAGGCCGTGCAGGTCTTTGGTGATGACATGGCAGCCGAGGAACCCCTAAGTTGCATTTCAAGAACTGTTTCCTTTCCATTTTTACCTCTAGAAGCCAGGCAAGAAAGCCAGGCTGTTGTAAGCACCACATTATTGCTTAATTTTCATTTCTGCATCCATTGAGAAGCTTTTTTTTTTCAGGTCCGACAAAGAGGCTGTGATAAAACTTGGCTGCTCCCTTTAAGAACTTTGCACGTGCACATTTATGTAATATCGTCCTTTTGTCATATACCCACCCACGGCTCATTTTCCAACGACTGGGCGGGTAGTCCTGAACAGAGGACACCTGCTCTTTCTGCTGCTGCAGTTCGTGCTGCAGCTGTTTGAGTTGGTGTTGGCGAAACTGCTGCTGCTGGTAGCGCTGCTGCTGTAACCTTTGCTGCTGCTGCTGCTGAAGCTCTTGCTGCTGCATCTGCTGCTGCTGGTATTGATGCTGCTGCTGAAGGTTCATTCTCGGCTTCTGGGCTCTGTAATTCTGCGGCTGCATGATGCCTGCAGTTGAAGAGAATAGCTTGTCAATTAATTTAGCACTTGGGCCCAACACTCGGATTCACACAAGCTCAGAGAGTATTTGTAACGAGGTAATTTTATACATATGGCACAGTATGGTATATAATATATTCTACATGATATGGTGTCAGGTGTCATAACCATTTGTGTGAAGACAACCACACCGGCACATTGCCTCTTCCTCCCGGCCCTAAAGCTACTGGCACCTGCTCAGGCCCACGTTGTCGTAACACACCAAGCAATTGCCAAAGCAGACACCCCTAATATTGTGCAATGTACATTATAGTATGGTGCATGGTATGGCATATGATACGGCTTGATTAAGGTGTATAAATATGGTACACAGTATGGTGTATAGCATATGATATGCGATTACGGTAAGGTGTATGGTATGGAACATTGTATGGTGTATGATATAGTGTATGGTATGGTATAGTAAATTGTATGGTAATATTTAGTGTGGCGTGGCGTAATGTGGAACACGACACTTACTCGTGGTGTAACCAATGATAAATTCAGGTGAAGCTGCATTCAAATGTAGAAAGACATGCTGCAAAACATTATACTGATGTGGACATATATTTGCACAGATATCATAACTTTTCCTGACAGTTTGTAAGCACCTGTACTGAAGACCTGCATCAAGGACATCAGCATTACCCTCGGCAACCATGGGGTAGAGCTGTGTGTCGGCATCGTTGATCCAGTACCGATAACTCTCAGGGTAGGCCTGCCCGTAGTCGTAGTACTTCTGTTCTGGTGCGAAGGGTTCTTCGTACGGGTCTCTGTACTCTGGTCGGCCATGACTGTGGCTGTTTTCATCACCCCATCGAAGCCTGTTGTTGTGAGGCAACGGCGGGAAGCTGTTGTGGCCGTTAAGTATAGGCTTTGGAATTCTTCCTGCAAACGAAGAAAGACCGGTAAAAATACTGAAACCTTTCTAAATACCTGTATTTAGAGTATTTATTATTAGCTTGCGTAACTTCTGGTCAGACTGACCAATTTATCTACTTCTGGAGACAAAAGTCTTTATCACACGGACTTCACAGCAAATGCAAATTTCTGCTGTGTTAATGCATGCATGACCATACTAATTTAATGATTCACTTTTTAGGCTGTAAAGGGCCGCAGGCTTAAGCTTTTAATAAGAAGCTTTTCTGTCAGGCTAAGCGAAAATTCAGCTTTTCCAAAAATCTTGCGTCCTGGGTCTTTATGACCTGACCGTAGATTGGCATATAAGATATTTCATAGCATGCTCTTAAGTAATATTAAGAAACAGTGTAATAGAAATTAAGAAGTTGCTGTAACATTTATGACACACGCCCCCAAGATTTCTCATGAAATCAGGCTAGTGCTTCAGGAATATTATTTTCTCCCACAATACATAACAAAGATTTGCCAACAGTATAATCTACTGAATGCCAAAGCATCTTGGCACAAGTTGGTTAGCAGATATCTTAAAGCTACATACTGAAAATGAAAAATCTACGTTTTCGAGCGTTTGTTTATTACTTGCCTTTTTTTGTCTTGAATGTGTTAATGCACACACATTTAGCTTTGATTCCTGACATTTAGTTGACGACACCACAATTTTTAACTCCGATAGCAGCATTACATCCTTAACTGGACAACTAAACTTTGATCTGGCACAACTCGTTCGGTGGTGCAGTAATAACATGTTAGAAATTAACACGTCTAAGACAAAATTTGTTGTCTTCTCTTCACCACAAAAAGCCTTACCTTCTATCCCTCCTGTTATAATTGCGCGCAATGACATCTTTGTGAGCGACTGCTGTAGATTCCTAGGCGTTGAACTTGACAGCAACTTGAAATACCACCGACATGTTGCATATATTAGGAAAAAAATGACGTATGGCGTTCGACTACTGATTAAATCTCGTCTTTATTTCAATCCATCAATAATTATGTCACTGTATTTTTTTTGTTTATTCGCACATTTTTTACTGTATTACTTCATGGGGTAACACATACACCACTCATCTTACTTCAGTTCAGACAATTCAAAACCAAGCGATAAGAATTCTCACGTCAAGCCCATATCTCTCTAACGCTAAGTCACTATTTCACGAAAACAATATATTAACTGTATCTGAGCTAGTTAAATATAACCTTGGTATTTATATGTATAGAACTATAAATAACCAAATTCCACACTTTACTACCATTATCTCAGATAATAATGTCACAAGGTTAGCCCTTAACAATAACTTTCTACTGCCAGAAGTTCGCACCAATTATGGCAAACAAGCCATTCATTTTTCCGGAATTTCTTTTTGGAATAGTTTACCTTCCGACATTAAAGTATGCCGTTCCCTGAAGGTAATTAAATCAAAGTTAAAAAATTATATCATGTCTACTAATTAGCCTGTTTTGCTGTTTCTTAATTGATTCCTGTTCATTGTGAGTTGCGTTCTGTAATCACTTGTCATTGAAGTTAGCGTGTTATTCTTGCTTTTAAATTGTTTCTGTGAGACTACAAGGGTATATTCTTGCTTTATTTGTTTCAATTGCATTTTACTGTAGCTCTGTCTCCCTGCTTTGTAAACACAATCATTCTCAATTCTACATTGTACAAGAGGTCCCCTTGCAGTCTCTGACTATGGGACCTCTTTTGTATATCATGCACATGTATTCTTCTTCATTTAGCACAATAAAACCATCTGTTCTGTTCCGTTCTCTACATGTGACACCGATATGAGCACAGTGTATACATGTTGCTTATAAATCTACCTTTCGGTTGCTTGTTTTTTGCAGCTGGTAATATAAACACTCAAAATTTTCAAGAAATATTGCTTAACCATTTGAGACACTTTGCACGCAATTGTGTACACTCAAACCTCATTATAAGAAAGTCATGCGTGCCACAAAAATAGCTTCGTTATATCCAAAATTTCGTTATAAACATAGTATCACACTGTATCTATAGCAAGACTATTCTTCATTTATTTCGTTATAACCGAAAATGCATTACACCCAGGTTCGTTATACCGAGGTTTGAGTGTACATCACTTATTTTTGATATTTGTATTGACTAGTGGCTAATAAAAAGCAAGGACACATTGAGGTATGAATAAATGAACTTCTTGTGCGAATAAATGCGTCGTCAGTTTAACTTGATTTTGCCATGCGCTGTTGCATATGATCATTTGGCTGAAGGCATTACCATGTCTGATGAGTCCTTGCAATGTGCCACTTTTGATAATCCATGGCAAAAGTATCAGTTTTCATTGCTCAAAATGAACATAATTGAAAACAAACTGGCACTGTATCTCTTAAACAGCCTTGACTTTATGTATGTATAAACCGAACATGAATAATTTTCGAGTGAATAGATATATATACTTGCAATTTAATTCAGATCAATTACTATAAAATGCATAGATCAGTATATTGTGAAAATATTTTTGTTGCAAGAGAATACTGAGTGCCCTGCAGTATGTTGTTTAATTTAGAAGAGCTTGTTGCTGGGCGAGATGGTGCATCTTAATACAAAAGGGATAACTGCACTGCCTTACATAAACATAACAACTAGATACAAACAGGCACAGTACTTGTGTCTGGTTGTTATGTGTGTGAAAGGTAGAGCAGTATCCTTTTCTGTTGGTAATGTTGTGTAAGTTTGATTTATTTACAAAAAGTTCTTCATTTCATATTCATAAGGTTTTCTTCCCACGCACCTCCTCCCATGTCAACTGTAGGACCATGTCGGGGGTTGTCATCAACCATGGAAGGTTGTGGAGGACTGGCGGGAGGTGCTCTGTACTGCTGTTCTGTGTCCACAGCAGCTGTGCTTCCCGGTCGAGCGTGATCGGCCGTTGTTGGCAGAGTCGTCGTAGATGGACTGGCCGTAGCACTGCTGGCTTCGGGTATCTCTGTTCAAAACAGTTTCGCAAATGGTACAGCGTGAACATTTTTCCACGGTTCAATATTGCCACATTTTTATAAAAGAACTACTGCATGCTAATACAACAGGATGTCATAGTGGATGATGTCATAACAGTATAGTTAATTGCCGGAAGGGGGATCATAATAGAATGCATAATATAGACTGATTGAAACGACAAGGTGGTTGTAGTGGTGGTGGCAATGAGAGCATTACTATTCTATGCTGTGCCGCTCTGATAAACTTCAACGTTGCTGCCAGTTATTTCATTTACTTCGAGATGTCAATTAGCACTCTTTCTGTGCTGAAGAAATTTTCAGTAGTCACAGTGCAGGATGGTCAGGAGCATGCTTATTGACAATGTTTTGATAAGGTATACATTTCTGTTGACATAAGCATTATAAACACCGAAGTTGCTGACGGCAGCAACTTTGGTGCTATTCATTTGCCTGTTCGTACGTTTGATCACTTGGTTAATCATTTATTCATTCATTCCTTGCATTGCAGTAGGAGTGGAGTAGTATGCAATGCTGTCCCTACAGACATGTACAATATCAGAACGGCAAAGAAGTTTTCAATGAGAACGCAAGAGCATCTTTAGATAAAAAGTCACTAAAACAAGGATGACTGGTGGGCCAGCACATTTTGGGAAAGGACTTACTTGCACCAGGACACTTTAGGTCTTCAGCTTCATCGCTTCCATCGACGCATTGCGGTATGCCATCACAGACGTTGTAGACAGCGATGCACTCGCTAGAATTTTGGCAGCGGAACTGGTAGTGCTGACACTGGTGGCCTGCAAGTTTGCATGCCAAGTCGTTGCACTCAGCGGAAGGTACAAGGCATGATACTGCTTGCTTGCGAGCTAAGCAGGGTAGTGGAACACGCTAGTATGTTCAGAATCTGTGAATTGAATCAGGAGGCAAACTGTGCACTAACTTTGTAGATGGTGAAATTTTTTTCTGACAACTGCAAATATGAGTTCCCACGGTCCTAGCTCTACTATTAGTTTCCTCTTGCACACATATTTTTATTTTACTACATAGGTTACTCTATAATAACCAGTAAAGGTTATAAAGGAGACAATGAGAGTTAGATGTGAACCACCACTGTATAGGAGAAATATGTACTATCATTTGTTAGTACCATGTTACTGTGTAGTGCAGACAAAGCAATCGTTGAACAAGATATGTCATCATTCTCATCACTTGAAGCCTTCATGTTACCCTGAATACACTAGCAGGATACTGTATTTTGTTTGCCTTAAGCAGCTAATGTGCTGCTTATTCATCAAAGCAGCACCAATGCTGCATCAATTCGCACTTAACAGTATGTATTTCCTGCTCACTGTGTTGACTAATTGATTATAATGCTTACTGTCCGGTGATTCGTCTTGATCATTCTCGGCTTGACCTGCATTGGCTTGGCGTGGACTGCTTGTGCTTGTGGTTGGCTTGGGTGCCTGTGTTGCAGCAGGTGCATTGTGCGGGGCTCCAGCATCGCTTGTGAGGAGTGGTCGCGGCTGGCGTAGCTGCGTCAGTTCTTGCTCGTGGTGGGAGCCGGGCCAAACGGGGGCCTCGGTGTTGCGCGTGGGCAAGGTGAGCACGGATACGGTGTAGAACGCATGCGCCGTGAAGAGGCAGAGAAAGTGCGACGGCGGCCCGCAGTCGAACAGGTAGCAGCTGCCTTTTCCCTGCATCCCAACATCAACGCTACTTCAAAACAAATGTCAGCAATGTGGTCTGAAATGCAGCATGGTAAGTAAATAAGGTAGAAGTTCAATGGCAGATGGAAAGTTGAAGCAATGGAAACTTCTTGGAATGTGGGGTGTCGCTAGAGCCAACATTTTGACAAGTAGACTTGTCTTTTTCAACGCTGCGACTGCATACCTTGGTGCGTGCATGTGTATATTTCGCATCCTCTCCACCGACACAAGCAAAAGAGGAGGAAATAGCAAGTGTGCAAACGAGGGGGTAAGTTAATATGGGCCAGTGTGGTGCCTACCCTCATTTACACATGTGCCCTTTCTTTCTCCTTTGTTTGGGTTGTAGCAAAGAGTACAAAACATGCACAAACATGCACCAAGGTAGGCATTTGAAGCCTTCTCGAAGGCAAGTCTGCTTGAAAAAACATTGGCTCCAGCGACACCCTGTGTTCTAAGGACTTTTTGTCACGACATGGCACGTAGTAGCAGGTACTTGGAGGCATGTTGACATAACGTCAATCAATGAGAAAAATTTTTCTTGCACGGTTTAGTGCTTGCTATATGACACAGAAGAAAGAAAGACAGTGCCATTTTTGTTCTTTTTGCTCCTTCATCCACCAATGTTCTTCAGTATTCCCTATATTCTCCTACAAAAAACTTACGTCATACTGAAAAAAGTAATGGTGCGCTCATTGTCACACAGTCGTAAGAGGGTTTTTCTTCCTCTGATTAATTTAGTTTATCCTTGAATATTAATGCTTTCATCTGACAGCCTAAAAACTAGGCCCTGTTATGAGTTAAATAAATTTAGCATATGGCAGGAATCATAAATTTGACAGAAACAAGTACAGGCATCTAAAAACTGTAGAAACTGTTTACATGGTTGAAGACTGTATGTTCATCTGTAGAGGAAACCTACATTACTAAAATGTGAATTTGTTGATGCAGCAGATTCAGAAGTTAAGGTTTGGTAAATATAAAAAGTAGAAAATTATGCAAGGCAAAATCATTTACAAAATATTAAAACAATAATTCTATGAGCTGTACTGCACAAAGCCCAGAGATGGTGACCTAAAATAATGACAGATGAATGTGAAAATTTTAATTGAATGCTATGTAATTAATGCTAAGGCAGAAATCAACTCTGTATAAATGCAGTTAATGGTATGTCATACTAATCACGGGAAGGTAAAATATTTAATGACACCACTTTTGTGTTTGCATTGATATTGAAGGCATGTTGAAAACTACTTTTGCTTTAGTGTTTTTACCACACCTATTGTTATTTTGCCATAGCCAGTACCACATAGCCAGCCTACAATTAGTTGCTGGATGTGCATCTCAAGCCCCCGAAATTTGTACTAAAAATATTTATGTACATTGTTAATCAAGTTTGTAAGCCAGTTCAGGAACAAAGATTGTGTGCATGGTAACGATCTACAAAAAAATGTGACAAGAGCAAGCAATGAGATTTTACTGGTGTAATTGTTTGTATGTCTAACTTTGATTACTGTTCTCATGTAAATATTCATACTCATAAAAGTACACTGAATGACCAAAGTGATGTGCTGTTAAGAGTGAAACATTATGCGTATTGAACAATTCTTCTGAACACACAAAATGTGTATATATATATTAATATATATAGATATATATATATATATATACACCAGAAAAGATAGAGTACGACGCACCTACGTTGGTTTTGCATGGTATATTTTCTGAAGTTTCAGCAGGTGGACCGGCCTTTGTCAAAGTCAATATGTGTATATTCGTAAGAGGCTCGAGTCGAGTTTTTACATTAAATTCGCAATATATATAAACACATGAGACATATTTACACGAGAGTCGCACGGAATATAAATACAAAAAAATATTTCCTGCGTGTAATTTTAAGAAGAGCAGAGTTAAAATATGGAAATGGGAGATATTAATCTTGCCTTGTGTACGCGAGCATCGACAGCTGTCAATTCCATTCCACTAATTCCACTAATTCCAGATTAATTCCAACCACTTAAGTTATGTTTTTTTCCTTTCACGACCTTGTGCGCGTTCCGTAAACTTTTGTGCTAGAACATTCGAGTTCATCCTTGGCGCGCACTCTGTTCTCCGAATGCATCCTCGACACGGATATCGCACCAACGTACCTTTTCTTCGAACACGGCTACGTTGCAGCTGGTCGTCTCCCAGCACCACAGCGTGCAGTCCCGGTTGGAGCTGAGCTCCGTTTCGTTCAGGTATCGCGCACCCATACGCCGGGAGTCCTCGGTGCGGATTATGCGGTTCTCGTTCACCTCGAAGCTCTGCAGCGCGTCTCGCACGGCCGCACTGGCTCCCGCGAGCGAATGCGAAGGGTTGGGCCTCTTCTGAAGCGTTCGGCCGCCGCCAGAAACAATTGACGCCGGAGCGGCGACTGGTTGCGATGGCTTAGCCGCAGCGACGGTGGGTTTCGCGGTGAAGCCATCCTGCGCGAACGCGATGGCTAAGGATGCGAGGAAGACGGCGGCGCCCGCGACTTTGCAAACGCAAACGCGACACATTTTAAAGTTTTGACTCGTGCGAAACCTTTGCGTGTGAACCTGCGAGATTCTACCTCGTTTTTCTGCGCATTGTAAAGATGGTAGTACGCGATCGTGCTTATGCGCCGATGGCCGACGTTTCGTTGATGTTTTTGCGCTTTGATTGTTTGTTGAGGATCGTAATGAACGGGCTCTGCGCATGCGCTGTTGAAGTACTCGCACGGAAAGGTAGCCGACTCGCCCGTAAGCACCTGCAATTATAAAACATTGAGAGTGTTTTAATTATTCAAGTGAAATTGAAACATAGGCTTCACGGGGACTTGCGCCGACTTGAGCGTGTAGTCGCTTAGTTTCGCTTTCGGTTCCGTCAGCTTAAAAAAAAAATAAAACCACAGATACGTAAATGACTAGCTTTGGTTGTAAGATAACCTTAAAATTGCAAATTCACAGTTTTGAACTAACAAGCGGCGTTTGCTTAGTAAAATTGAGACATTATTTATTACAGTGTTGACACAATAACTAATTCAAGAATGTGAACTTACCGATTGTCGCATTACCTCGGAAGGAAAAAAATAAACAGCAAATAATTGTTTTAATAAATATATTGAATTGATTTAATTTGTAAATTTTACATGTGTTTCTTATTGCAAGTATTAAATAGCAACAAAACAGATATAATATTGATTTTTTTAAGTATTTTTTAAATTGAAATGTTTGTGACGTATATTCAGTATGACAAGCATGGCCTCTGAGATTTGTAACTCAAACTCAGAGAGAAAATTTTGTCGTATCACGTTTTAACCGCGCTATTTTCCTTCAGTTCCTCCGTATCGGGTTTTTTTTTTTGTGTGAAGCAGCGCGTTGCTTGTGTTTCTCCGGCGACCGAGCGAAAGCAAAGAAGCGGGCTGAAGAGGCGCCTGCTTGCGGAGAGTGGATCCTCGTGGAGAGAGCGAGGCCCAGCGACGCTTCGTTCGTCGTCCCGTGTGTGTAGCACGCGATTGTCTTGGTCGGTGGTGAGGGTCGTTCACATTTGCTGGTGCCCAGCGAGATTCGGAGTACACGATCTGCGCAGAAGCTCTCCGGCTACTTCGACAAGGTGAGCTCCCGCTACCTGTGATTTCAGCGCGCACCAACTCTGCTCAGTATTGAGCCCGACCCGTCTCCCTTATTTTAATTTTCTTCCTTCCCTTCGTTGGCACAAAGGCCCGCTTGACGTCATGGAAGCACGCGCGAGGGTCCATTTAAAATGAATGAAGTGTTTTTTTTTTATTTGCCATCCGCAGCGGGCGCCTAGCTGTGTCGACGCTTAGTGTGTCGTTTATAAATGCGTCGAAAGACCTTGCAAAAACTTCTAACGCGCGGTTTCGTCGCTGAATTTCGGAGCAGCCTGCGAGGCAGGTGCCCGGTGGCAGGGTGTTTCGGTGGGTGCTAAAGTGCATGACGCCTTGTTTGGATTTTACTTGCTTCGAGCGATACCCGAATTTTTTTTTCTTTATCTTTATTCCCCCTCCGTTTGTCTGGGAACAAAGGCCAGGTGTGGAGCGGATCGTGAGCGAATCGTAAGGACTTGGTTTCACGGTGGGGGCGGCCAGCACACCCGGCCATTGTATGAGGCGCGCTGCAGCCTTCGTTGTTTAGTTCTCAAGCAATTGAGATTTTTACTGGGAATTGTTTGTTATTTCTACTAACTTGATTACTGATTCTCATGTAAATATTCATACTCATAAAAGTACACTGAATGACCAAAGTGATGTGCTGTTAAGAGTGAAACATTATGCGTATTGAACAATGCTTCTGAACACACACATGTGTGTATATATATATATATCTATATATATATATATATATATATATATATTCAAGGAAAGATAGAGTTGATGCACGCACGTTGGTTTTGCATGGTATATTTTCTGAAGTTTCAGCAGGTGGACCGGCCTTTGTCAAAGTCAATATGTGTATATTTGTAAGGGGCTCGAGTCGAGTTTTTACATTAAATTCGCAATATATATAGACACACGAGACATATAATACGCACATTTACACGAGAGTCGCACGGAATATAAATACAAAAAATATTTCCTGCGTGTAATTTTTAAGAAGAGCAGAGTTAAAATATGGAAATGGGAGATATTAATCTTGCCTTGTGTACGCGAGCATCGACAGCTGTCGATTCCATTCCACTAACTAGATATCAATTCCAGTCACTTAAGTTATGTTTTTTCCTTACACGACCCCGCGCGTAAACATTTGTGCCAGAACATTCGAGTTCATCCTTGGCGCGCACTCTGTTCTCCGAATGCATTCTCGACACTGATATCGCACCAACGTACCTTTTCTTCGAACACGGCTACGTTGCAGCTCGTCGTCTCCCAGCACCACAGCGTGCAGTCCCGGTTGGAGCTGAGCTCCGTTTCGTTCAGGTATCGCGCACCCATACGCCGGGAGTCCTCGGTGCGAATTATGCGGTTCTCGTTCACTCGAAGCTCTGCAGCGCGTCTCGCACGGCCGCACTGGCTCCCGCGAGCGAATGCGAAGGGTTGGGCCTCTTCTGAAGCGTTCGGCCGCCGCCAGAAACAATTGACGCCGGAGCGGCGACTGGTTGCGATGGCTTAGCCGCAGCGACGGTGGGTTTCGCGGTGAAGCCATCCTGCGCGAACGCGATGCTAGGGATGCGAGGAAAGACGGCGGCGCCTGCGACTTTACAAACGCAAACGCGACACATTTTCAAAGTTTTGACTCGTGCGAAACCTTTGCGTGTGAACCTGCGAGATTCTACCTCGCTTTTCTGCGCATTGTAAAGATGGTAGTACACGATCGTGCTTATGCGCCGATGGCCGACGTTTCGTTGATATTTTTTGCGCTTTGATTGTTTGTTGAGGATCGTAATGAACGGGCTCTGCGCATGCGCTGTTGAAGTACTCGCACGGAAAGGTAGCCGACTCGCCCGTAAACATCTACAATTATAAACGTTGAAAGCGTTTTAGTTATTCAAGTGAAATTGAAACAGGCTTCACGGGGACTTGCGCCGACTTGCGCGTGTAGTCGCTTAGTTTCGCTTTCGGTTGTCAGCTTAAAAAAAAAAAAATAAAACCACGGATACGTTAAATGATTACCTTTGGTTGAAAATAACCTTAAAATTACAAATTCACAGTTTTGAACTTGCAAGCTGCGTTTGCTTAGTAAAATTCAGACATTATTCATTATTTGTTACAGTAACGAATTGAAAATGTGCACTTACATATTGTCGCGTTACCTAGGATTAAAAAAAATAAACAAAAAATAACTATTTCAATAACTGTATCAATTTGATTTAATTTGTAAAGTTGCATGTGTACTAATGCAGTTATATATGCAACAAAATAATTTGAATATTATTTTAGATTTTTTTAAATGAAATGTTTAAGACAGGTCACAAGCATAGCCTCGAGGATTTGTAATTCAGACTTGACAAATTGTGTATAACATTTTAACCCGCGCTATTTTCCTTCAGGTCCTCCGTGAATCGTGATTATCGTGTTTTTTGACTGCGAAAAAACAGGGCAGCGCGTTGCTTGTGTTTCTCCGGCGACCGAGCGAAAGCAAGGAAGCGGGCTTGAAGAGGCGCCTGCTTGCGGAGAGTGGATCCTCGTGGAGAGAGCGAGGCCCAGCGACGCTTCGTTCGTCGTCCCGTGTGTGTAGCACGCGATTGTCTTGGTCGGTGGTGAGGGTCGTTCACATTTGCTGGTGCCCAGCGAGATTCGGAGTACACGATCTGCGCAGAAGCTCTCCGGCTACTTCGACAAGGTGAGCTCCCGCTACCTGTGATTTCAGCGCGCACCAACTCTGCTCAGTATTGAGCTTGACCCGTCTCCTTTTTTTTTCTTCCTTCCCTTCGTTGGCACAAAGGCCCGCTTGACGTCATGGAAGCACGCGCGAGGGGTCCATTTAAAATGAATGAAGTGTTTCTTTTTTATTTGCTACCCGCTGCGGGCGCCTAGCTGTGTCGACGCTTCGTGTGCCGTTTATAAATGCGTCGAAAGACCTTGCAAAAACTCCTAACGCGCGGTTTTGTCGCTGAGTTTCGGAGCAGCCTGCGAGGCAGGTGCCCGGTGGCAGGGTGTTTCGGTGGGTGCTAAAGTGCATGACGCCTTGTTTGGATTTTACTTGCTTCGAGCGATACCCGATTTTTTTTTATCTTTATTCCTCCTCCGTTTGTCTGGGAACAAAGGCCAGGTGTGGAGCGGATCGTGAGCGAATCGTAAGGACTTGGTTTCACGGTGGGGGCGGCGAGCACACCCGGCCATTGTATGAGGCGCGCTGCAGCCTTCGTTGTTTAGTTCCTGGAGTCGAAGACGAGACGGAGGGGTTGCCCCGCTCGGTGGAGAGAAGAGGAGCTTCTGCTTCGTTTCATCGCACGATCGCGTATAATCGCTTGAGCATGACGGCGGCGCGGCGTTGCTAGCTATCCGTTTCACTACGGACCCCCTTGCCCTGCAGTTGGTGGGGAGCCTGCCGGTTCCTCCTTATTCTGTCGCTTTTTTTTTTCTTTCTTCGAGTTCTCTGCGCGCCTGACTTCCCTCTTTTGTTTATCGTTCACTTCTTCCGTCAGCTCGTACGCGCGTGAGTTATTTTGCCGAGCGTCATTATCGGCCCGATGCGGCGATAAAAAGTTCGCACGACAGTGCCCGGAGCGAAGATAAAGATTGTTCGGCGCCCCCTCCCCTGCACTTCTAGCACCGTCCTTTAGGTTTGATTTTTGTATGGTGCTTTGGGGTCATTCGTGAGGCGTGGTAGTCTGGACCCGTCCCTTCCGAGCCTGGCGCATTCGCTGGCCGCGATGTAGTTTGGCGGTTATGGTGAAAGGATGCCCTTGCGAAACTGGTCGACTCGTCCGCTAGTCATTCTAATCCCGCATCCTTTGCACGCACTATGCACGCACTCGCAGAAAGCGATTGTCGCCGGCGGTGGTCGTCCGCTCCTGATAGAGAAGTCGCGCGTTTCGCGTGCGCTCTGTGAATGCGCAATTTCAAGGCTAACGCGAGAGAGTGGCAGCCCGTGTATTTAGCGCGCTCGTATGCATAAAACCCACATTCACCGCAGTCTCTCTCTCTCTTTTCTTTCTCGCTTAAAAAAAAAACCCAGCAGCCAAGAAGTAAAACAAAGCTGATACCTATTGTTACGAGCCTTACAGATTCCTTTTGTTTGAATCTCCAATACCGAACAGGCAACGCCTCTGTTTGCCGTGCGGGGACATTTTCTAGCGTGCTTAGCGAAACTAGGCCGGCGCTAAACTGCGCCGCAGCGTGTGTGCACCCTTCTTGAGGTCGTAATTTTTTTTTTTTCGCGCGCAGCGTTTAGAGTCACTTTGCACTACACAGCACTACCACCGCGTTGGCCTGGGACGCGCAAAACTCCGCGGTGGCTTCCCATTTGTCAGGTAGTAAGTAGTTCGCGGCTGTCATTTCTCCCAAGAAGCGCGCTTGTTTCGCGGGGGTCTATAGTCACCCTAATTGGCTCCAGCAGAGAATGGGTAAAACACTTGGAAGAGGTTGCGCTTTGGCGCTTGAAACAATTAACTAAAAAGCGGCGCGCGCTCATCACGCTGCGTCGCGATGCGTGGAGGGAAGAAACAACCGCTTGGCAATCGCGCTAAGTTTCCTGCATGCGATGCGTGTGGGAACGATGTCACCGCGTTTGAAAAGAGCACCGAACGACGGCGACAAACAAACGAGCTCTATGTGATTCCCCGGACGTCGCTTTGCCGTCATTACGATGCCGCTGTGACGATGGGGCACGGCGACCCCCCCAATTTGCTCCAGAAAAGCGGCGCAGCGTTGGTCGTCTGCCGCGCCGCCGCTCCTTTGCCTTTTCGCGCTCGAGTCCCGTTGCTAGGAGTTGGTAGGGCTCCGGGTTGCTTCATACACAACGCATTTTAGTTGCGCAAACGTCGCCCTTCTTTGCGACCCCGGCGACTACATCCTCCGGACATGGCGCGTTTCCTAGGCGCATCGGCCGGGGAAAAAAAATAAAATAAGGGGGTCGCGCCGGAAGTTTGATCCACTTTTTCTTGATCGAGGGTGATGCCGTGCCATCACCTTGGGAAGCGCGTAGATATAAATAACTGTTCTCCACGGGGACCGTTAAAGATGATGCGCTTTCCAAAAAAAAAAAAAAAAAATCGCACCGCGCACGGCTTGCGTGTGCGTTTGTCGCGGAAACGGCTTCTGTATTTATAGTGTAAATGGGGGGAAGGCGCGGTTTCTTATTTATAATTCAGCTGACGCCCATTTTTTTTTATTTATGCGGAGCGCGCACCGGCCTTGCAAGGTTATCAGCCAAAGGGGCGCGTCGGCTTTGCTGGCATTGAGAGAGTAAAGAGCCGCGCGGGGATTTAATGACATTCCCGCAGCTGGACGGAGGTCAACGAGGCGCCGGCTTTGCGCTGCATGAATGTGTATGAAACTGCGCGCCGGGCCCCGCCGCGGTGGTCTAGTGGCTAAGGTACTCGGCTGCTGACCCGCAGGGCGCGGGTTCGAATCCCGGCTGCGGCGGCTGCATTTCCGATGGAGGCGGAAATGTTGTAGGCCCGTGTGCTCAGATTTGGGTGCACGTTAAAGAACCCCAGGTGATCTAAATTTCCGGAGCCCTCCACTACGGCGTCTCTCGTAATCATAGAGTGGTTTTGGGACGTTAAACCCCACATATCAATCAATCAACTGCGCGCCGGGGTGGCCGGGGCTTTTCTCCCTCAAGGAGAGAGAGAGAGGGAACGCAAAAACAGAATCTATACGCGGTGGTCCTAGCGTACTACGAGCAAGTGAGCGCGTGTTAAACCGAGCGTGGCACACCGCTAGTTGCTTGTTTGTCCGAGCAAGGCGCACTGCGGTCAAACGGGGTTCAAAGACCCCGTTCTGCATGTAACAACGGACGGGGGCCCCGTGCTGCGAAACAGTAGGAGGTGTGGACCAATTTCCTGCCTTGGAGTGTCTTTTCTTGTTATTTTTTTTCTATTTTCGCTGCGCCGCACGCAGCAGGAAAAAGAGGCGCGGTGTCTGCTGTCACTCTTAGTATTTTTGTTGTTCGTTTCTCCTCTGTTTGCAATGTCTTTCATTGGAGCCATTGCGAAATACCACCGGCTTCTAGAGATCATTGTCAAGTTTCCAACACTCTGACGCACATCGTGAATAAGCTAGCCGCTCTTGTGTCCTCTTGCGCACAGTTAGGCATGTGCCAGTGAAAAGGACACTGAAGTGATACAGTAAGTCGCTGTATAATAACTCATTTTTTGAAAACTTTAACGTTGCTGATTTCGCTATCGAGCGAAGGGGGGGAAAAAGGTGAAAGTTTCGTTTTTGAATTTCGCGCCAGAATCCCGCAATTTGAATGTTGATATGACGTCATGAATTTGAGTCCCCCCCCTCCACTTTTTTTTTGCGCAAATTACGGGCACTTCAGGCGTACTTTTTGCCGTCGATAACATCGCCTCGCGCGTGGTATGTTGCGCCTGCGAGTGAAAGCACGTCAAGCCGAGGTCATTTAAATGAGCCGGTCCCCTCTGTGGCGCGAAAGGCGCATGGAAAGGTTGTGCCGGAGGTGATGTGTGTTTGTTTGTGAGAGAGGGGGGAGGGGGTTGCGCAGCTCTGGAAAAAAGCGTGTTTTTTTAACCAGTGGGATGTGGTCATGTGCGCTGTATCTTTGCAAGGGATCAGCCGATTGCTCACACCTTTGTACGTAGTGTGTTCTCGTTGCAAAGATTATGTTGAAGCCATATTCACTACGAAGGCCACTTCCCTCTCAGCAGCGGCCGCGTTTTCTTACCCCAGCGTGATTACCTACTTATGCAAAGTCCCACTGCTAGCCTTACTTCGTGTAGCATTCCAATCTATTGCTTTTGCAATGATTGCTTCGTCCTTGCAGCGAAACTGCGACTTTTACGCATATTGGCCGCACTGGGACCGTAAGATTTCCTCATTCTTGCCATGTTAAATCTCAAGCTCCCTTATTACACAATGTGATGCTTACTGCTGGTTACTGTATAATTGACTTACTGTCGCTATCAATTTCATTGATAATTATCCAGCCTCCCTGGTACTTTTGTACATTAAGCGTCTCCTCTTTGGAAAGCTCTTATTGCCTGCAGTGTGTGTAAATAGGCAAAATAAATGTTGTACGCAGTGAACAAACCATGCATCAAGGAGCCATTTAACAGCTCTGAGAAAATTTGAAAAGAGCAATGCCCGTAAGTGGCTATTTAAGAAAGAAAAATTGACAACCACTCATTCGTAGTACGGTGTCAATTTTCTTTCTTAAATAGCCACTTACGGGCATTGCTCTTTTCAAATTTTCTCAGAGCTGTTAAAGGCTCCTTGATGCATGGTTTGTTCACTGCGTACAACATTTATTTTGCCTATTTACACACACTGCAGGCAATAAGAGCTTTCCAAAGAGGAGACGCTTAATGTACAAAAGTACCAAAAAAAGCTTCGTGTGTGTTCATTACGGCCATATGTATTCAAATGTCTTGTTGCTAGCACAGTCATCTCACGACCACTCGTGCCATCTCAAACACAGTGTTCCCCACGAAGTCATCTCGATAACCGATTGTGAAAAGTTTCACAAACTTAAAGAACCACAGGTGGTCGAAATTCCCGGAGCCCTCCACTACGGCGTCTCTCATAATCATATGGTGGTTTTGGGACGTTAAACCCCACATATCAATCAAAAGTTGCACAAACGTCTATGCGTGCTACTTATTAAGCTTTATTTTTTTTTTTTTTTTTGCTGCACGGCATGTGCATTCTGTGCATTATTTTTGTTCTGCAACTGTATAGTCAAGTTAAATTTATCATTCTCATTGTTTCCATTGTTATACTTGGCTCATTTCTACAATGCCCAACATGGCCAGTAAGTGTTCTTAAAACAAATCAATGAATAAATTAAAGTTAGTAAGTGATAAAGTTAGTAACTGTAAGGTTTTCGTTCTAGTAACTGTATAATGATGCATGACACAATAAATGGCTGCAAACAGCTAACTCACCGAGCAGGCAAAGAGTCGCTGGAGCTGCTCGTACATCCACATTTCAACGCGCAGCCGCTTCTTTATGAGGCTCATTTGGTGCGGGCCATACTTGGCTGTCAGGTACTTTTTCTTGCGGTCCTGAAGCTCCTCCTTGTCGCCTCCTTCGAAGTTGACGTGCAGCGACTTGGGACCAGCTGCGAGGCACTCTCCCTTGAGGGACCCCGTGCCTGCTGCCAGACCACACTCCATTGCTGGGCCCGTTTATTTTGGTTCCACTCGCGAGCCTGGGGGCGTTCCCTGCAGAAGAGGGTGCGCGTGACTGATTTACTCTGCCAAACTTATCTTATTAGGCTGACCTTATCTAATCTGCATAAGCTGCAACATCCTCTGGGCAGGCCAGAGTTCGCTTTTGAGTAAATGGTAAATAGATGTGGTGAACAATGAATACAAAGGGGAAGAAAATGGGTGTCTTTGGGTTAGCTAGGGTTAAAGAGAGCACACCATATACTTCATTTCATCCATCAGGTACAACGCTCTGTAAGTTATGCGAGAAGTTCAGTCAGAAGAATGTGCAAGTTCGGGCATGTAGTGCCTTGTTTACACCAACAAAATCGAAGCGCAAGACTCGAGAACTTGCACATTCTTCTGACTGAACTTCTCGCATAACTTACAGAGCGTTGTACCTGATGGATGAAATGAAGTATATGGTGTGCTCTCTTTAACCCTAGCTAACCCAAAGACACCCATTTTCTTCCCCTTTGTATTCACCATTCACACACATCTATTTACCATTTACTCAAAAGCGAACTCTGGCCTGCCCAGAGGATGTTGCAGCTTATGCAGATTAGATAAGGTCAGCCTAATAAGATAAGTTTGGCAGAGTAAATCAGTCACGCGCACCCTCTTCTTCTGCAGGGTACGCCCCCAGACTCGCGAGTGGAACCAAAATAAACGGGCCCTGCAATGGAGTGTGGTCTGGCAGCAGGCACGGGGTCCCTCAAAGGAGAGTGCCTCGCAGCTGGTCCCAAGTCGCTGCACGTCAACTTCGAAGGAGGCGACAAGGAGGAGCTTCAGGACCGCAAGAAAAAGTACCTGACAGCCAAGTACGGCCCGCACCAAATGAGCCTCATAAAGAAGCGGCTGCGTGTTGAAATGTGGATGTACGAGCAGCTCCAGCGACTCTTTGCCTGCTCGGTGAGTTAGCTGTTTGCAGCCATTTATTGTGTCATGCATCATTATACAGTTACTAGAACAAAAACAGGGGCCTGCCTTTATCACTTACTAACTTTAATTTATTCATTTATTTGTTTTAAGAAACACTTACTGGCCATGTTGGGCATTGTAGAAATGAGCAAAGTAGAACAATGGAAACAATGAGAATGATAAATTTAACTTGACTATACAGTTGCAGAACAAAAATAATGCACAGAATGCACATGCCGTGCAGCAAAAAAAAAAAAAAAAAAATAAAGCTTAATAAGTAGCACGCATAGACGTTTGTGCAACTTTTGATTGATATGTGGGGTTTAACGTCCCAAAACCACCATATGATTATGAGAGACGCCGTAGTGGAGGGCTCCGGGAATTTCGACCACCTGTGGTTCTTTAAGTTTGTGAAACTTTTCACAATCGGTTATCGAGATGACTTCGTGGGGAACACTGTGTTTGAGATGGCACGAGTGGTCGTGAGATGACTGTGCTAGCAACAAGACATTTGAATACATATGGCCGTAATGAACACACACGAAGCTTTTTTCGGTACTTCTGTACATTAAGCGTCTCCTCTTTGGAAAGCTCTTATTGCCTGCAGTGTGTGTAAATAGGCAAAATAAATGTTGTACGCAGTGAACAAACCATGCATCAAGGAGCCATTTAACAGCTCTGAGAAAATTTGAAAAGAGCAATGCCCGTAAGTGGCTATTTAGAAAGAAAAATTGACAACCACTCATTTGTAGTTCATACGGCTTTCTCAAGAACAAAGCTAAGTTGCCAAAGTGTTTGCTTTGGTCGGGGGACTAAACAAGAGACGAGGATTGATTTGAAGCAGCTGATTATTATCGCGTTTCACATGTATAAGCTCTGAGCCACTGCACTCCGCGTTTCAACAAAAACAATTGTTGTGACACAGGCTGAGGAGAGGCGTGTTCGTTTGGTAAAACGTGGGTGGAGTGTTTTGCTTTCCTTCAAAACGACAAGCCGACCTAATGCAGAGGCCAAATGGCGGGGTTGGCTCGGTTGGTCTCGTTTGTGCCAGAGCACAGGAAGTGTCTGGCTGGGCGGGAGGGCAGTCTGCGGTTACGCTCAAGGAAGCGTGACGACAAAGCAGCGACTTGTAGAAGACTTCCTCCCGGCTTCTCTTGCCGTCTCCTTTCATTGAGCACTCTACTTAAGCTGCGTCGCCCGAACAAAGTGACGGGACAAAAGACATCCCTCACCTCGCTTTAAGGGCCTCCTCAAAAGAAGGCGCCCCGTCTGGCTTTGTTGACTCAATGGGGATGGTGCCAGTGACATTTGAATTGTGTGGAGAAAAGCTGCACTATTTATTTATTTATTTAAAAGTACCTTACAGACCCCTAGATACATTGCATAAGGGGTTAATACTAGAAGATGTATATAACATGTACACTACAGCACGGCTTACCACTTTTGTTTTTGATTGGCATTTTTTTAGAAGCACACCTGCATGTAATTTTTTTTAGACTTTGTTTCCTCAGCTATAACATTACGTGTAGTAAAGGGAAGTAATTGGAGAGAAAGTTTATAAGTAATTATATTATATATGATCATAAAAAAATGATTCGTGAACAAAGTGAAGTCGAATTGTGTCATCCACTTGCGTACTTGATAGTGTGGCACAAGCTTTTATTCATCCAGCACCTACATACGCAGCTGCATCATGGAATGTCTTCAGCAAAGTCTGTCTTATTATTATCATTTATAGAGGCTTAAAACCTTCTCTCGTGAAAGACAACAAATTAGATATGAATGAGAAACAAGGTATAACACCCTGGATGTGAACTTTGTTGTTTCAAGCTTAATACATGAGTCTTCAAGATCCATATGATATACATTAAAAACATTACATTACACTGTGTTACATTAAAAACAATTTTTTAAACCTACCACCATGTCAGTGTGAGACTCAAAATTCCAAAGTGTCTTTTTGCATTTCAGCCGCCCAGCTAAATACAAGTTGAAGCTTGTTCATTTGCTTTCTGGCGTGTTTAAAGCATCTACTGATAAAATATTAATCTCATGGGAACAGATGCCATCAAAATCTGTAATGTCATGTAAAGAAAGTGTAGAAACTTCAGTGCGTTTCTTTTCATTGACATTAACTATAATGCCATGTCGCATTAATAGCGGATTTTCGATGTTCTGAAAAGACAATTTACTGGTGCAGCTCTAATTGTGTTGGTTAATTTTCTCTGATTCGGACAGTGAAAATGGACAACAGGGTCAGTGCCAAGCGCATCAAAGACAAGCTGTTTTTTCGACAAAGAAACGAAAAACATACGCTGAGAAGGAAAATGCGAGTCGTAACATATCTGCTTGCATCACGTTCTTCCTGATCGTAATTGATGTGCCGTAAAGTCTGTGAAACGTTGAGGATGTCAGTGAGCTTACTACGTAAAACTGACTGGCCTATTGCCAGGTTGGCTGAATTTACGTTCGCCTTCCAGATTCGGCTTTGCGTTTGCTAGCTCCTTTTTCCGTTGGCATTCGTGGGATCTGCGTGTTATCTATCCTTTCACTGGTAGCACAGTTGGGTACGGATGCTACGCTTCTCTTCTTTCCTGGGTAGGGCTCTGCCAACAGGAAGTTTACTCTCCTGTACCCCCCTCATTCTCTTCCTTCTTTGCTAGAAACTTGTCGGTATGGCTTGGCTTCTGGTGATGGCCTTGGGAGCACCCTCTCGTGTTCGTGTTCTAAGGATGTTCCTCATTTGGTTTGCACACGTGCGACGATGTATTCGCAGTCATGCCATCTCCATTGCAGCAACTGCGATCCTTCCAAAAATGTGTCAGAAGTGCCAAACGGAGTTTCGTCACGCATGACTACCGCTATTTATTAGCTAGTGAAGGGCACCAGCAACTTGTCATCTATTTAACGTGAAACCTGCCTTTTTTTTTTTCTTTGAGCATTTCATAGGGTTGTAAAAGAAGGGCATTTATAATGATACATTTACAATGAGAAAATGAAATATGTACAAATGCTGAACACAAGTGAAATGGGAAAGCATCAGTAAATATAAGTGGGTACAGACGGTATCCACTTAGTTGCCATTAAAAATATATATATAATTCACAACATAGTTTATTTGTACAGTGTACTGTCTTATGCGCAGGAACTGTTCAGTTAATGTGAGGTGGTTTTACAATGCCTGTCATCATCATCATCAGCCTGACTACGTCCACTGCAGGACAAAGGCCACTCCCATGTTCCGCCCACAATGCCTGTACTGCATATCATATTCAAACAAGAAAATTCTGATTGTATGTTAGGTAGCAGACATGTTAGTGTGTACGATTAGACTCTGAAGTCAACACGCCATTCATTCTTTGTTAGGTGAAGGCAAACGGCACTACTACTGACCTTTCAATATTGACGAAACCTTTACTGTCCCATTTTTTTTTCTTCATTTTATTCCCTCACAATAGCACTCCACTCTTGATATGCATGCCACTTTCATGTCAGTTACATAGGTAAAACTGACATAGGTTACATAGGTAAAAGCTATACTAAGAGAAGTGCTCTGCTACTTCTCTTGTACAGACAAGAGAAGTAGAAGAGTGCTGTTGAATGTATCAATGGCTGCAGAATAGATCACAATTTATTGTTTTTTGGATTGGCAACATTGAAATACTCCTTCATTGTATATGCAAGTACATCCTGGAGGTTTCCGCTTTTTATGGTTGCAAAACAATTGGTTGGTTTTTCCAAAGAGTGCAAATGACCTGAGTTAGTATTTAGACAAGTATTCATCCAGATTGGAACACCATTTTAACAAAAAGCTAGAGCAATCCTGATGCAGGATTCGAACCCTGTTTTGCAAGTTCGCAAATCACTTCCCGATGTGGCAAAAAGCCTGTGATACTAATTTTTAGATCACAGTAAATTTCAGCAAATTTCACCCTGGAAAAAAAAAAAACAAGGGAGGGAACTGTCTAATGAGCATTCACGAGTGATTTGTGACGCATGTGTACATCTGTCCATAATAATGTGCATCACTGTCTGGCAAACGTGAGACAAGTGTCGATGATGAAGACATCGCCTTATTTGCCTGCACTAGGATCAGTCATATCTCTTTTTAGGTTCTACCTTTATGCATTCACTATTGATAAAAACGATTCCATCGCTTTTCATAGTTTCTTAGTGCAATTTCTCCCTTCTTAAGGATGCAGGTGTGGTAAGTAAATTTGGTTTCTTGCTTATTTGGAATAATATACTAAAGGCAAATGTTAAGTCTATGTTTATTGCTGAAATAGCTGTCCAGATACCTTGTAGTGCTACTTTTGTGCCAAGGAAGTGCTTATTTTGAAGTAAAACCGCATATCAGTGGCTCGCATCACATTAGTGCTCTTAAAATCTCCCGCCTGAAAGTCCCTCTCATGTCAGTGCTGCCGTGCACAACGTTGCTTGACTTTACAGTGCGGCCGCCGACACTAGTAGCAGCAGAGCGAAAGTAGCGAGAGCCACAGCAGCGACAACGGCCATTGAACAATTTCAGTGCCCCGCACAATTCTAGTGCTTTGCCTATTTGCCAACAATATGCAGTGCCCCACACAATTTCGTGTGCTTTGATCGAGCCAAAAAGACCAGGTTTTCAAGACTGACTGATGAGAAACCAAGTCGCTTTATTTCAGAGGGTGCACAACCTGAGCATTCTGCCTCAACTGAATTTTCGAAAAATAGAAACTGGCAGTTTCTCTGAGCTTTACAAGTTTTTAAAAGTATTCCTGCCACTTAAAAGCACAAGGTGCAGATTTTTCTTTTTTTAATATGCATGGCATTTATGAAGCCTTCCTTGTGTGTGAGAGACATGCACAGAGATGCAATTCTGTCAGATTTGTTTGCGCTTTTGTTGACTTTGTTGCGACAGTGAAATATACTGTCATGTTGACGAATCTTTGAAACTGCTTAGAGAGCGCAGTATATTTTAAATTCGCATGCTTCGGCTACTGACAGAAACGACACCAGGAGCACTTGCGTCAGCACTTCAGCAAGTATGCTTTGTTCTCTCTATGCTTCATTGGAAGGACAAAAATATTAACTATAGTTACAATGGCTACGATTTGATTTATCTGCAGCTTCTACAATCCTTGATTGCGAGTAACTGTGTTTGCAAAGTGCGCATTGTAGTTTATTCTACCCTGGAATGGCTGCTACGTGTTTCAAGCCAAATGTGTCAGTGTGTAAGTGATAGCGAGGATCAACTTTTTTTTTTTCTGCTCAATCATGCAGGATGACAACCACGACATTGAAATAGACTTGGACGAGCTCTTGGACATGGAGAGTGATCATCGACGAAGAGACTTTCTCAGGGTGAGAACTTTCTCTCACTCTCTCTTTTTAATGATCAATTTTCATCTGCTTCACAATGCTGTGTCAGGATCACAACTTATGTTAACTTAGTAGAGTGCTGCTGCTGTGACTCGTTAGCCACTTCTACATATTCTAAGCTTGTTGCAGAAATAAATTTGGTTCTTTGTGACAATGGCATGACCTTTGAACTACCAACCATTGAGGTCTGAAGCACGGGAATCCCACAAAAAGCCAACTAAATCTTATTGTATCCGATAAATGTACTTTCACTTTGTAGTACTCACCAGACACATTGCATTTAAAATTTGCGTACTTCTAATGAAAGTGCCCCCTTTACTGTACTGGATGGGTTTTCCAACTAGCACTCAGTTTTGGTCCATGTCCACTGAGATATCAGTTAACATTTTGATTTTCCTTAGGATCCAAGCACACGTTTAGCAGGTCAGGTGGACTTGCTGATGAAGTATTTGAGTATAGTGTTGATGGGACTTCGCTTTCCAATAGCTGCACCCGAATGTATGTGCATCTGTTTAACCATCAGCAAATTAGTGTATTTTCATTTCGCTTATTTATGTTGCTGACTGCCATCTGAACAGGAAAAAAAACAAAACTGTTTTTTCGTTTCAGACAAAACTGAAGGGTGCCAAACAGACTCGGGATCAAGTTGAGGTGAGTTATCTGGTCTGCGTGGTGTAATTAATGATATTTCTTAATTGTGGCTAATAATTGTCCCCTTGCATTGTGTGCAGATGGGCATAGGTGTGTTTGGTATGAATGTTTACGTTCAGAGATATTGCCATTTTGCCTGAGCAACCTTCCGACCACAAGGTTTTTCGTAAGTGCTGAGGACGAAATGTCTAGTGTGAACTGGCACTAGTCTTAGAATTCATACTAAAATGTACCCTGCCTTAAGCAATGACTAGATTCAGTTCTGTAATTGAGCATGATGTAGGTGTATTTGAATAAATAATTATTTAGCATATTAGATTTTTCAACGTAAATAATTAGTGTATGAGATATTGCAATTAGTCATGCAAATATCCTGTTGAAATGCCTGTTAAATCTCATCTAAGTGGCACCTTTGCGTGTTCTTTCACAAGCAACTATAAGAGTTGAATGTAATGAGTGTTCCCATTGAAAAGCTGACTATTAATCTAATTTTTATAATTGCCATGCAATGTTATTTTGAGCAATCGTTAAAACTCTGCCACTCCCAGTAAATTATTGGTTAACTTTTGTTTCTTTTTGAGGAACTTGGAGACAGTCAGCATAGTGAAATACAAAACAACAGGTGTACTTTTCGTTCTGCCATTACCTTTACTCTTTTAATTATCACTTCTCACGCTTGCATTGGGTGCCCCTCCATGTGCCTGCAATTCGCTTTTACCAGACCACCTGAAAAACTATATATGGGGCAGGTGCACATCAGGTGCCAATGGAGTATGTTGGGTCGTCACGATGAAACATGTGCTAATTACCCTCGCCCCTTTCACCCACTGCAGATGTTCATCGATGAGCTGATACAGCGCGCCAAGACTCTGTGAGAACATCCACCAGCCAGGTGTTCGTCCTAGTCATCAGGACCCATGTTCTTAAGAAAATCTCACCGCACCCATACGCTTATATGCCACACCCCACTGTGTCCTCGACATTTCTTACTGTGCGTTTTTTTGTTTACCTGCATGTTGCAGCAACAGGCATGTTTTCCCATCACCACACTGTTCATGCTCACCTAAATACCTTGGCCGCATGCGGCTGCATTCTAGCTGGCAAAGGCAGATGATGAAGTGAGATGTGCTCGCCCTGTGAAAGTACTTAGAACGTCTGAAACTGTCACATAGTGCGTGTGGACTGGGTGATCAAGGCAAGCCTGTATGTGTTGAATGCCTTGGTCAAGACAGAAGAACTATGGAAGTACTTGCTTGTGGAACCGAAAAAAGCGTGAAGCTGTTGCGTGCGATCTTTCGTGTCCCCAGAAAGTGCACACGACCTGCACCTTGTGTGGGTTCATCTTCATCAACAAAAGTACTCATCTTGAGCGGAAACTGCTGTGCCAGATCAGTGGTTACAGTGCTATGCCGTTAATTCGGAGGGCACTGGTTCGATCTCGGGCAATGGTGGTTGCTTTTCGAAGGAGTCAAAGTGCATAGGGGCTGTGTACGGCCAGTGCACGTGAAGGAACTTTAGGTGCTTCAAACTACCCAAGCCCTCTAGCACAACTTTTTCTCATAGCCTTAATTGCTGTGGGACATTAAACTTCGTACACCAACAAACCATCATTGCATTTGTTGTAGATGATGCTAAGGTTTGAGTACTTGTGGTGATGATGATGATGCTAAGCCCTGACTAGTCCTCGAAAGAGGTAGCAAGAGGGACGATGTTTTCTAAGCCTGAAGGAGCCACAGATAGCATTGTGACTTTTGCAGAAAGAAAAAAAAAAGGGGGGTAGTCGTCGTGGGATGATTAGTGATTTGGAAAATTGCTCAGGTGCGTTTGTGAAGCTAAGAGCACAACCTTTCAAACGAGTTCTTGAATAGGTTAACTTGCGACGGAGACCTTTTGTGTAGCTGGTACGCAACTGAAATGACCCAGTACGAACACCGAAAAAAACTGGGATACTGCGTCACTATTTACATTTAGAAAACGTTCTCGCTCACAACTGTGTTGCGTAGCTGTTTGCATACCTGCAAAGCCACACACTTGACTAAGAATACTGTGTGTAAATTGGCATCTAATAGTGAAGGGCCATTATTCATAAAAACTTGTTGGTTTTGCCAGATGGAAGACTTAAATTAGGAGCACTGCCATATGTTTAGCAGTAAACAGCCTGTGCACAAAAGCAAACGAGTGAAGCTATAGGCTCAAGTGCATGTTTTGACGCATGTGCTGCTTCCAATAACAGTGACAGCGGATCACAATATTCAGGATTCATAAATTCGTATAGCAAAATTTTTTGCATAATATGTATAGGAAGAGCAGCGGGGATTTTCTAAAAGTTCGTTATTCTAAAAATATTCATCGAACTGACTTTCGTGCAAGTGAAAGTACACTGTTTTGTGCTATATCGATCTTTTGTTTCATCTTTAAACAAAGATGACAACATTCACATTTCATGATTTGTTGAACAACTAATATAAGTTTCCCACACGGAAGATGAGATATTTATAGTGTTTCCAGCGTTGTTTATGATGTTTCTCAGATCTTGAACTATTATCAAGTTTAACAATTGATGGCGCGCAATAGTGCAAACTTGCTTGTGAACTGTAAAATGCACCATGCAGCCCGCCTGCATAAACTCGCCACTAACACACTGTTAGTTGCGTGATTAGCCCATAGAACTTCATTATGCGATGAAAACTGTCAACCTGAGGATGTTGCGTAGATTACTGGATTGGTGCAGTTAATAGACATGGCCACACCTTGCATCTGGTGCAGCATTCACGTGACAGTGACACTGAAAAGCTTGTGCAGGACCGCTCAGTCTTCGGGCGGAGCCATTTCTCTCCGTTACACTGCTAACTGAGCTTTCTAAGGTCGCGTGACTACGTACGGTTACAAAAGTGAGAGTTCAACAGCAAATACCTGCTTGGAAACGTTAAAAAGTAGCGCAATCTGCCTGCATTTGCCCAAGCCGTATTATTGCATTGTCTGGATGATGGTAGATTTGAAGTGCTGTCCATACATTTCATCTAAACTGTTTCACTTTCAATGTCCTAACTGTGTCTCCATGCCAGTAGTGCATCTTACCATTTTTTCTACAAGTTCTTTATTTGCCTTAGGCTTAGTTAAGGCACTGAGCCACTATTCATAAGATTTGCGAGGAACCATTTTTCTTGCGCTTGAGCCGCGTGGACACGGGCAGACTTTATCGAATGTTCTAAGTAGGACTGCATATCATTCTAATTCAGTGCTTTCATAGTTTCTATGCAAATGCAGTGTCTAAAGTGACTGCGGCTGCTTTCTGTTAACTGGGATTAAAAAAAAGTTTTCATGTTGTTGCTAGGCCCTATAGAGCGGATATGCCGGATTGCTTACAACAAAGCTTGTAGCGATAGGCTAGCTCTTTCTCCTTTCTGCAGCAATCTGAGGAGCTATCAAGCCCCCAATGCCATTCTACAACCATGTTTACATATAACTTGCCATGCTGCCTTAATGCAGACGTCTTTTGGTAATTGTTAGGCAGTAGTAAATTGTATGGCTGACACAAACCTTACGATACTCTTCATACCAACAGTCCTTCTTGCAAATACATAGCATGTTGTTGTGTAGAATCTAGTGTTTCACTTCAATGCTGGATTGGACGTCTGCGAAGGCTTTCTTGCTTGTGCTGGAGACTTTAGCTAAATTATAATTGTAGCAGGTAGGCAGCGCTTAAAAATGCATTCGGTTTCTTCATTCAGAGCATCTGCAAGTGTGGTCAAGATTATACAGAGTGTCTGGTTTGGGCACCATTCTAGGGAACTAACGTCAAGATGTCTATGCTTCGTTGCAAACACTTTGAACCTGCCAATCGTACATGCCACTCTGTTTGATGAAGGGTGAAAAACGAGTACAAAAAGTTGTTCTAGCAAGTACGGGCCACATGTGAAAGCTTGAAAGCGACTCTGAATGTTGTCTGTTTTCACAGAGTCTATGAGAGAAGAGGAAAGTACTGTTGTTTTTTTCAACATGACTTGGAACGGGTCATAGTGTCAGCAGGTGATTAACCGAAGCAGCTGTCATACAATGTTGTGTTTGGAGAAAGGCTGTAACGTGTTGCTGTTGATGTAGTTTAGAGTACACCTGTGCTGCTATGATGGTAAGATGTACCTGCTTTTGGGCGACTCAGGCTTGTTTAGGAGTTGGAATATGTTGCATTTTTTCACACTAAAAGCACGTTTTCTTTCTCTAACTTTTAATCCTGACGCTACTGCCATCTATTATATAAATTTTTTTTTACACACACCTTTGGTGCAAGACTCATTTTCATGGTGCAAATTGTATTGCTGCAAACATGAGGCAATTCGGTGTTAACGTGTCACTGCAATGTGGAACGAGCGTGCAGCATATATTCTGATGCTGCCGCTAGGCCTTAACACACTGTGCGATTATAGTGTTTTAATCTACTGCATGAGATTTTGCGCAGGTTTTTGAGATTGCTTTAGCAAGGACACTTCAGTACATGTGCCATGAACACAGCACTAGTGCGTGTCTTGACAATGCTTTTTATTTCTTTGTGTAGAATGTCGTGCATGCATTGCACATTGTCACCAAACAAATGAAGTTTTTGAATGAGCCGCAATTAGCACTCGCAATGTTTTTGAATCGCCATCGATATTGTTTTAGTTCACTTGCTAGGTTTGCAAGCGTTCGGCTACATTATCTGTTCTACTTGGGCTTCAGGTGCAAGTTCACTTTGACGCTAAGTTACATCAATGGTCGAGATCTGACCACTATGGTTGGTTCCCAGTGTTAACGACTTGCTGTTGTGTTATTGTGTGCAGTTATTTACAAGCACCAATGCGTTTCACACTCCTGACAATTGTGTGCACATTGTCACAGGGCAGCTTTGGGGCCTTCGTTAATTTCACGCACTAATAGAAGAGCATGCAGTTAGTATGGTGGTGCCATGCAGGACGAAATCGGCAGTGCAAAGGCTGTTCAGTTTTCTTCTTTTGAGCGTCGGGCAGTTGCGCTATCGTGCGGTTATTTCTCGGGTAAACATGCTCGTAAACAGCGCTGGTAGTTGACTTACGAGATGATTGTGGTGCACGTGCTTGAGCATTGCATTTGGTAATAGGTTGTACGCTTGTTGAGAGAGTTTGAATACTGTATCGCTATTTTTTAGAGAAATGAGTATGGATCTAGATGCATATGAAGGTGGGCAAGAAGACCAACTTATTTGGGTCACATCATGCACAAGACAAAAAACATTAATGAGTACACAATGTCTATTGTAACAAAAAGTTACAATAACTGGAGACCCGTAATACTTCGATAGATAGCAGCATAGATTACTTCTTGAGCCGAGTCACTTGGTATGAATCAATTGTAAGAACATGGTGCAAAAATTGAGATGCCTGTCTTGGTTTCTGCACTGTTCTTCACGAAAGATGTACAGCACCCTAATACTGGATTATGTGTTTCAGTTGGAAATTCAGAATTCATTGCGTTTCCCATGTGCATCTCGCTCTATGCTTTTTTTCTTCACATTTTTTAATGATGCATTGTGTTGGCTGTATACGTAACCTGTTGTCTTTCCTTCGCAAACCACTCTTGCAGCAGTAACTGACCCGTTAAGAGCTTTTGCATGCAGCCTTTGCCATATCAGTGCATGGTGCTCCTATTGAGCAGTAATGGATGCCCACTGAAGTGAACACTGATGAACTGTGGTTAGTCACGCTAACTACAGTTTTCAAGCACTTGCAGCTTGCACAAAAGCACTGGCAGCCACACACTTCAAAGGAGTAGTGACACTAAATTTTCAAGGGAAGATAACTTGGATAGGTCTGTGTAAACATGCATGCATCTACAAAATGTCGCCGACTCGAAGGCCTCGGGATCAAATCCCGGCGACTTCACTTCAGGTGCACATTAAAGAACCACCAGGTAGTTGGCATTTCCAGAGCCCTCCACCACGGTGTGTCTCAATCATATTGTAGTCTTGCGACATGAAACCTAAACAATTCTCATATCATCGATCGAAGGAGGCTTTCAACTGCGATGTGCGGATGATTTGCTACCTACTGCAACAGAAAAAAAACAAGGCAAAAATGCTTTAAATGTCACTTGAATTTTGAGCACTGCACATGCCAAAAGGAGTGGGCCATTCATAAAAAAGCCAAGCTGATGCGCTAACTGCACGGTATGGTTACAGCTGCAAGAGTTTTATGCGGGAACTAAAAAATGGCTGTGGTTGGGCAGTGTTGTAATATTTGTCCCAACATTCTTTTTTACAGCGATTTTCATATCAAGCATTGTGATGAGTCTGTTTTAGGAGATGGTTATGAATAGTTATTATAAAAAGGCACTCATGTTTAAGTTTTAGCCCTTACATTTTTTTTTCTTTAGTGTTGGTTGCGAGCTAGTGTTTAAAAAGAAAAATTGTTGTCATTTCACAATGTTTCATTGTATTTATTTGCAAGCTCATCTACTTAAAAGCAGAACACTGTACAGATCTTTTTACACGCCATGTTATATGTTTTTTTTTTCTCTCTTCTATACACAAAAATCCTTGTCACCGAAGGAGACTTTGAAGACAATAAAAAAATGTCACAACAAAGCAGGTATCATTTCTTACGTAGTAGGGGGTTTCTTTAGATACTCTACGATGTCAATGAGTGGCTTGCCGAAGTCGATCTTGAGTTTTGTGCGGCCAAAGTAGTTGTTCAATTCTTGCCACCTTTCCTTCGGGGTGTGCTCCTCGTTGTAGATAAGCCCTGCACATTAGGAGGAAAATCCTTATGCAGCAGTGCTCCGATGCTTGCGTGTTGTTGGATGATTGGATACACTAATAAATTGAAGGAATGCTCCATAAACAAATTTCATGGCAGTGTTGTAAACTATGCAGTGTGTGCTCACACTTGCTGTTGCCTTTTTCAGTTTGAAGTGTCTCTGTCAATAATGTTAACCAATCAGGCCTGAGCAGATGCTATGAATATTGCCAACACAACTTAATATAACTGTATAGCTAAACTTGTTTACTAATTCAATGTGTGCTTTCTTGAGGACAGGGGAACTGATGCCTATGAGTTTATTGCAGGGGTAAAGCTTGTTATAATTTAGTTGTGTTGGGCTCACTAGAGTAGAAGCAAAGCATATGACCTCTGCAAAAAGAAAAAATGCACATTTTTTAGCAGGTCCTAAGATTTAAACACACACTCGCAGTGCTCTTGGCAGTGACTCCATTCGGCAATGTTTTTTAAGTTCACCCTGCTCTAGGGAACCATTTCTTGGTCATTCCGTTATCCACGAGGGTTCTTTGGTGGGCTAGCTGGTTCATAAGCGCTATGGCAAAACAGCGAGAAGAAACAAGGGACAGTGAACCGAAGCCACGATTCTTTATTTAGTGCTACCACATTCGGTTTTTTAGCGTATTCCCTCAATATAGTTTAAGCCACAGGAGTGTTGTCACACTGTATATAATTTATTACGCATCTAAAATAACGTTAACTGTAACTTATTTCAGTTACCTTAGTTCCAGCTGCATAAGTTTCTTTGTTTACCTTATGAGGTTATATCATGATTGTGTAGTGGATAAACAATTCACTTTATTTTCCGCCCTTGCCTTCAGCAAGTGAATTATCTTTCACGGCAAGGCACCGTCGGATTCATGGCCTATGCTTGAAGCGGGCTGTGCCAAGAGTGAAAACTAACCAACCATCCAGATGTTCCCCGTGCTTTTGCAGTCTCTCTAATCATCAATGCCCGCAAGCAGTAGGCAATACCTGTTCTCTGAGCTTGGTAAAGAAGGGTGCCCACGATCTTGTGCTGCCTAGCGCAGAGGCCCGTCACGTTCCTCGGAAGCTGGTTTCCTCGCGAGTCCATGAACTGGCTCAGGATGAGCACGTCCTGCGGTTGAAAACGAAGCCGTTCCAACGCAGCCGTCCGGACTACACGCGTGTCATATGGTGCAGCGCCGATCCTAATCGCACTGCTCAAAAGTTATTGGCTCCCTTCTGCAGCTTGCGTAAAGAAGCCAATCGTGATAGATGAAGGAAGAGAACTTAGTGTGGGCTCGTTTCATCGCTCGACAAAACCTTGATGAAAAACAGCAGATAACGAGGTCAAGTTATATTTGTACTGTAGTGATCGCGATATAGAGGAATTTATCCCTGCCGGCAGCGAGATGTCTTTCCATACAGTTTACTTTCTGCACATCTACATCGCAATTACTGTGTTACACTCGAAACCGTACAATTAACGTTTCCTATAGCTTTCTCGGCTTCATTATCGGCTGGTTTTCATTAACGATTGGCCAATCATGATCAACAAATTTGATCGGGGTCAGGTCCGATCGCGACCAGGAATGACCGTGCAACATCGGTCTAAGATGTTCCGCTGGGTTCGCCGCTTTATCGTTTCGTAAACGCTATTGAAATCCGCGTGAAAAGACGCATACAGAAGACCACGAGTGCACTGCTTCTTACTTGCGTCCCCGTCTTTTTTTGCGCTGTTTAATGAAGTGCGAACTCCGCACGCGCGAATCGGTCTTACCGTGTGGTTCAGCCTCTTCAGTCCCAGCCTGCATAGCGGGCACGCGGAGCTTGTGTGCTTCGGCTTGACCACGAAACCCTTGCGAGGAGAGTCGATGAAGACGCCTTCGATCACCGTCGTGTTACCTTCTTGCCTCTGCCGAACTGCGAGGAAAGGCGCCGGCGCAGATGAGCTGTTTCCGCACGTCAAGTCAGTACGACGGCGACTCACTTTCTTTCACGCGAAGCGTCGCAGAGGTACTCAGCTGCTTTCCCAGCGCCGGCCAGCGCAAGAGTTTTTCGAGCCCGAAACGCACTGTCCCCATGTGCAGCGCCATTTTCGCCAGCATTGGTTTACGTATGCCTGTCCAGTTGAGCAGTAAAGTTGAGAAAACGCGGGATAACCGTGAATTCAAAGGCAATGCTTGCTTATGTATAAAACAATAAGTGAAGTCACCTACTGCCACACTTCAGCAAAGTTCATCTTTATTTTATGTTAGAAAACAGTTATTTTGGGCCAGTCAAACAATATATTCAAAGTATTTTATGTTTAAAATACATAATTGTTTGGTATGGCTTACAGCGAAGTGGTGGTGAGAAGTGACAACTAAAGCTGCTAACGCAACTTGCATATCAAATGTTGTATTGAAAATTCAATTCAATTATAAGACTATATATTACAAATTATAAATGTTCGTTTTATTTTTTTTAGTTTTAAATCAGCGACTATTGTTTATTACTTTTAGATACGCAGCTGCGCATTTTCTTTAGTGGACCATGTGCTTTTTTCTGAACGTTTTCTGCCGCCCGCGTTTGGTGAACCGATCGCATAATTTAGGAGCAGCGTTCATTTGTGCCAACGCTAAAACCGATGTTCGCATAACACTTTCGCGAAGGCTCCATTCTTGCGGAGCCCCGCGACAGTCGAGCAGGTCCTTCTTTGGGAGTTCGGGGAAACATCTGACTGAGACGAGGTGTGAAGCCCGGAACTTGTGTGCCCGCCGAGATGGATATGTCGAGTCCAGTGTTCAGCCTTGAACCTCGGCACGCCGCTGTCAGTGTCCGCGCAAGCCGACAACGTCGAAGAGCAGCACCTGCAGCAGCTCGCGCGCCAGATCCAACCGTCGCCGCTGCAACCGCAACAACATGACTCGCCCATGCACCAGTCCCCGTCGACGCAGCAGAGGAATGCGAGCGTCATACAACCGTACGCGGCGAGCTCGGGACTCACGCCGCAGTCCCTCATGCAGCCCCAAACGCCGGCCGGACACGTTCACGTAAGGATCGCGGCTCTTTCGAGCCGGCCGTCTCGAGTGGCGAATAAAACTTTCAACACACTCACCCTAACGGGTCGGAGTTCGGACGTCTTGCAAACGTTGTGGGGGAGACGCTTGCAGCGTTCGTACCTACATCCTAAGATGCGGACCCAGTACGAGTATTAATTAGCACCTGGGAGCAAGCCCCAACGCTTGCTCAAATGAACCATCCGGTATCGCATGTATCTTTTGAGAAAAAAAAAAAAAGGCCCGAGAAAGTGCGTTTGAGTGTCGTATCTATGGCAGTGATCAGTCACAAACTGTAGTCTTAGGAAAAGATAACAGCATAGAGGGGACGTAGCTCAGTCCTGATTTACACCCCCAGAGAGCTCGTGCAGGGGGGTTATAAGCTTACGACGTTCCACGGCCAGGTTTCGGTATTCTCGAGTACTCCACTGCTAATAGCAAACCCGCGAACGAACTTGGCGTGCATTTTCTTAAAGGACTCGGTGACGGCCTTCATCGCGGCATGGTAATACTGCTGGCAGTGTTTTCACCGGCGTGCTGATCTAAAGTTAGGTGACAGCGGTTGCCTTGGAAGTGCATCGTCTTTTACTGATCTGAGAGGCAAGTGGTACAATTGGCGTGTTGCTGAAGTTCAGCCAGTGACTGCGATCGCGCAGAATCGGACATAGTTTCGAATTGTTAACGCGGAAAATGCGGAGACAAAAAGAAAAGACGTGGACAACATAAGCGCAAACTTCAAACCACGTCGATCGCGGTTTGAAGTTTGCGCTTATGCTGTCTATGTCTCTTCCTTTTGTCTCTGTATTTTTTGCGCTAAGAATTCGAAGATGCATCTTTACCAACTCGCCGCACTAATCGGACATAGTGTCTGCTGGTGAAATGCCAAAGTTTCAAGTCCGCTCTCCCCGAACCCGGGCCCCCATAACCTAGTAGTCCCTAGGATAGGCAACCATTCCTTTCTCAGAAATAATACGCAAATGAACATGCTGTATCGCTGCAGCGAACATGGCATAAATAAACACATATATCTTTATCTAGATAATGACAAATTTATTTTGTGCGGTTTCAAGGCTGCCTTGGTCAGATTGAAAACTTGCACCTCTTGTAAAAGCATGTTCTCGATAATTGTTTGCACAATTGATGACATCAATTGCTGTGTGTGACCATCATTAAAATTCCAGTTGCTACTGCTCTCAAACCCTTTAAATGTGTAGTATGGAAAGTAATGTATGTTTTTGAGGGCCAAACATGTGTTGTAATGCTTTTTACATCATTGTATTTGAACATCGGTTTGATTTAAGTGTGCAAGTAATTAAATTTTTAATGTTGGCTTGCGTAGCACTTACTTTCTCGGAACTCGTTTTTTATATTGCTGTGGCCCATCGTTTTTTTTGTATTGATCAGGTCTATGACTGCTTGATTCACTTGTAACTTTTCGGTCACGTTGTAGTAGTGCCCATTCTTCAAAATTACACTAAAATTAAAAAGTGAATTAGTTTTTACTAATAAGTTATGCTAGTGTTGTTTATTTCAACATCATTGAGTTATTATTATTAAAAAAAATCAATGTCAAATGCTTCATTTTAAAATTTTCTGCCAAGATATCCAGTATTGATGTCAGGAATTTCAAAGTGTGTTTTTGTATTTTTGCCACAATGGCTCAGTGAAATTTCCTGATAATTGTTAAGCATCTGGTTTCCTCAGGAAACAGTGTATTTAATTTCTACCAGTTAAGAGCTACGTAGGCATAGCAGACAATGTCGAAATCTATGGCGTCATAGCGACTGGTACGAGAACATCAAGGTGGTGTCATCCCCTGCAATTTCATTTTTGTGCATTTTCTTGTACCAAGGGTCTCCATGCAGTAAGCTTCGTGATTTTAGTATTGTGAAAAGTAATTAACTATTATGAAAAAATTTATGCTTTTAGTGTTCCTTAAATGTACAGTGATTCGCAATTGCAATCAGTGAGTTAAGAAAGCTCTATTCAATTCTTGAAAATGGCTCGTACTTCACTTTCACTTTGTTTCACCCATGGCAGTCGTCTGGTGCGACACCGACTGGTGCGGGTTCGACACCACACTCGGCAAGTGCAGGCCTGTTCCCATCGACACCTGGCCCTCCCATGACACCCATCACACCAGCATCAGCAGATCCTGGAATTGTTCCACAACTACAGTACGTTGCATTCTGAATATTATAGTTTAGCGTTAGCGTGATAGCGAGGGGTTATGGGAATAGTGTTATTGTGCTGCAAACGTTCATTGCAGACAGTGCCTAATAATTTAGTGGAATAGCATTTATGTGGTTTACAGGCTCCAGCGGGGGCACAGGCTCCAGCAGGGGGGAGGGGTGAATAATTAAAGAACAGTGAAAAAGAAAACTCTTGAGAATGTTTGCCTTTGTCACCACCTGAAGCAGTGTTACAAGTTTTTTTAATTATAATAAAAGTAAATAACTATGAACCACGCACCAAACGTTAAAACATATATGTTGCTGATTTGTTTACATCAATCTTGCCCCGCCGCGGTGGTCTAGTGGCTAAGGTACTCGGCTGCTGACCTGCAGGTCGCGGGATCGAATCCCGGCTGCGGCGGCTGCATTTCCCATGGAGGCGGAAATGTTGTAGGCCCGTGTGCTCAGATTTGGGCGCACGTTAAAGAACCCCAGGTGGTCGAAATTTCCGGAGCCCTCCACTACGGCGTCTCTCATAATCATATGGTGGTTTTGGGACGTTAAACCCCACATATCAGTTGTTTACATCAATCTTCTAGTTAGGCCTAGAGACGATGGAAGGAAGAAGCCATCTGAAAAACTACGCTAACTTATCTGTAATACTTGGACATCGAAGCTAACTGAAGGCAAGCGAAGCTATTTTTAAACTGTTGTTTGCTGCGAACGAAGTGAATCTTTCAACAACTACACCAAATCACTCCGAAGCGGGCATCTGAAACCGCCGCCATGTTTTACGTACACCACGTAAACCACGTCAGCACGGTAATGTTAAATCTGAAAAATAGCGTGCGTACGGTGAGCGGTACGGGTCACGTATGTTAGTGCGCATGCATACTTTGATACTGATATCCCGGTACGCCCGCTATCCAGCTAAGCCCTGTAAACTATAACTGTCTTAATGATGTGCATATTTTGTGTGTGTGTGTGTGTGTACGCATGTGTTGTGCCACAGTCAGCTCAAAGGGGTACTGACACCATTCTTTGAGGTAGAGTTTACTCTGCTATACAAATATGTTGTATACAGATATGGCTTTCAGCAGCTCAGTAAATGCTGATAAGAATACATAAAGGCTGACAAAGGTGCACTGGAAATGATGAGCAATCGTGCCCAGTTGCGAGCACAGACCTCTAGCTTGAGCCTCTGCTACACACTCAGTGTTGCTGTCCTTGCACCGATCTAGCTCCTCTTCGTTACAATTGACTCTCCAGGGAAAATGACGCCATCCTGGTGACTCAGTCATCTTTAGTGGCTGTAGAACTGTAATATGTCTTGAGTCTTTGAACGTGGACAAGCCTCGCAGTTACAATGTCGCATATCAGAAGGTGGTGTAAGAGGCTCAAGGAGGTAGTTGGAGTCTTTTTGAGAATGCGGTAAGGCCCATCGTAGTTTGGACGAATTTCAGAAGAGAGTCCTGGTTGTGCGATGGGCACTGACAGCCACATGAGGGAATGGGGCAGAACAGCGGGAGTCGAGTTGTGGGCGATTGTTTTCTGGCGATTCTGTTCATCTGACGTAAAGCAGCGGGCCAGCTGGCAACATTTTTCGGCGTGTCTCTTGGCAGGCACTTGGATGCATGCCCCCGAGAAATGGAAACTAGCTTTTTAACACTTTTATAATTAATTTTTCAGGGCGGACTCATTCATACTGGTAAATAATGGGCTCTTTAGGGCTTGTCCTTCCATTTGACGACTGAGAACTTGCATGTCAGTGCATACTTAAAAGAGGCCTAATCTCTCATAACATAAAAACATACGTTGTGCAGAACAACATGAAGAACTATTATTCTGTTGAAATTCCCTTGGTAGGTGAAGTAAGCGTGGGGTTTTGCAAACTCTGCTTCTCAATATTTAATGCAGCAGCTTTACAAACTGATAGAACTTTAAGCCACCTATAGCCAATACATTGCGTGTATTTTCTCCTGACTACTGTGCTGCTGTTAACAAACGAAGCATAAAAATCAGTAGGTAAAAGCCTAGAGAAAGCACTTCAATTATGAACTTTATTTAAAAGTCCAATTTGTTGTCTATTTTGAGGAGTTGTACTATTGCATAGGAAGGTTTTAATCAAGCATACTAAGACGTCTTTGCTCACAGTATCCTGATCGTGGTGTAGTCGTTACATGGCTTTTCACTGTTTCATGTGCCTTTATTTCCTGTCCTTGTGTGGTTGCACTGCCATTTCATTATGTTGTACAAGGTTGTAGGGTTCAATTGGTTGGTTGGTTGAAATTTTATTAAGGTCTTACAAAGTGTACATTAGCATGCAGCACTCGGAAGTAATCTGCAATCTTAAGTCACCATGTCTGTGATGCTTTTAGTGCACTCCATAAGTGTTGCAGCGGCTGAGAGATCCTTTGTTACTGTGAAAATTAATTGACTGTACTTGACTACACAGGGGTATTAGGTGTCAAGTTGTGTGAAGTTATTTTTCTTGCTTGCAGCTGTGATATCCTGCAGTTGTCAACACTACTGCAAGTTCACATTAAAAAACGGAGCTTGCAAACACAGTGACAAAAGAGAAGTCCGTGTTGTATGCCTTGTCTTTTGAGCGAATACATACCACACTGGCTAATGCGGCAAAAGGGCTATAGTTGGTTCATGTTGGCTTGGCGATGTGCTTGCGGCAGGGAGATGCTACAAAGAACACAGGACAGGGTTTGTGCTCATTTTGTTAAAACTGTGTCCTTTGTAGTGTCTCCTTATTGTAAGTGTATGGCCATGCTGCACTAGCTAAGCAGTTAGTTTTTGTTAATATTGTGTCTAATAAACAAAGCAAGCCTTTAAATTTACACTTCTTTTCTCCATAGCTAAGCTCTTTGTTATTATAAGTACTTGAAGTTTTTAAAAATGTGTCTGTTGTATATATCAGCTCCATGATAAATGTTATTGGTTTGTCTGGGAAATGGTGACAAATTTTGGAACATGAGTCAGAAAACTGTGTCCCATTTGCACATTTGTATAAAACGAAAATGCATTGCCACAGGAACATTGTCTCTACGGTAAACCTGGGCTGTAAGCTGGATCTGAAGAAGATTGCCTTGCATGCCAGAAATGCCGAGTACAATCCCAAACGTTTTGCCGCCGTCATCATGCGCATTCGGGAGCCTCGGACCACGGCCCTCATCTTCAGTTCGGGGAAGATGGTGTGCACTGGAGCCAAGAGGTACTGCTTCCCTTTGTTTTGTGCTTGCTGAGATGAAAAAATGGCTGGCTGGGTGTGTTGGTTCATCGTATTACGGAGTGTAATGACTGTATCACTTGATGCAAAACTCAACAATTTGTGTGCTGCATGTTCACTAGCAGTAAAAGATGGCCGAACACTCTCACCACAGCATTCAGTGGTGAGCAACCAACATGTAAGAGATTTATTGCTTTGTTTGCATCAGTGGAATGATTTTTTGATTGCGATTCATCAAAATTTCGTGGTGCTGGAGAAGCCATCAAAATTGCACCAATGGAGTTGTTTTAGTTATGGCTGGTGCTGGACCCCTTGAAATTTGTTTAGGTTTCAAATGGTTCGGGAAGGACTTAGAGGGACCGACAACTGATGTTTGTGGTGTCTATTTTTTTTTTTACCACAACGGGCAGCTTATCAGTCAGTGAATCAAATCACGGAATGGCAACGTGAAAGACACCGCGAAACATTTGTAATAAGAATTTTTCTATCTGCAGCGAATATGAAGTTGTATACTCACATGCTGTAAACAGCGAGAGCGAGAGCGTTTCGTGTTCGAGCCTGGCAGTTTATTGCGTGTGCGTGCGCCATGGCTCGAATTGGTCCACTGGCGGTTGTGATGGCAGTTCCGCCTCACACTGTGCAATGTCTTTTACATCGTAAGCAACAGAACATCGAGCGGGGTTGGATAATAATATACAGACTCCAATTTTGAGGACTGGCGCGCATGACGGCATCAGTCAACGCGACTGCGTACGGCAAAGTGATCGACTCTATAGACCATAATCCAGCTTCAAGGCTCTTTTGCTAGGCTGCTCCATGGAACAGTTTTTGTTACTTTTAAGCACGACTTAAAAATATAAATCCTAGTCACAACACAAAAATAAATCTGGAATCTGTCAATATATTTAATGGTATTTTAATCTCTACTGTGATACTTTGTCTATACGCACGAAACCTGAACAATATCAGACTGCACAGATTGCTATGTTCCCTGTGAAAAATTATGCAGTCTGGCACAAAGAACGACGGCAAGCAATCTAAGGTGCCACTGCAGTTGCAAAGCCATGGCACAGTGGGGATTGCAAACTCAGCGAACAGAAGAAATTTTTTTTTGCAGCATGTGAAGCAGTCAGTGCGACGACGACAATGCATAGAGGGAGCTGCAGTCAAATCTCGTTATAGCGAACTTCATATTAACGACTTTTTCAAAAATCTCCCTCCAAATGTCCATTAGTTTAATGTAAAGATATTTCATTACTATAAATTTCAGAATACTAAATGTTTTAGAATAGCGTATCGAATTTTATCGCTGTTATGTCTCCACTCTTCAAAATAATGAATAGCGATTTTATGAAGTTGCTCGCGGCTGTGGAAACAACGTTCATATCAGTACCTGCCACTATCATCATCATCAGAACGCCCGTATATTTCTCTTCGTGCCTTCCCTATTCAAATGTGCAATAGCCCATCCCACCACCGCCTTTGTTTGTTTTTCGTGTCGGGTTTGGGCGTTCCACCGCGGCGGCGCCTTTGTTCCATCAGGCAGCTTTACATGCAAGCTTATTACCTGCTGTTTTCTCATCTTTGGATTGGTGGTTGTACGTTCACGATGACTTTTGGAAGCAGCACGAAAGAAACGCGGCACAAGTGAAAAACGCAACATGAGTGACCTACGGGATGAAGTCGGCGATGATTCACCCGTGCATGCTTGACTAACCTTTGAACACTGTGCACAGTGCAATGACGAAGTAGGCACATCGGCTTAGCTGACGATGAATAAGATCCATATCATTTGTCGGGATAAGGAAATGGCGACGAGAGCAAAGACTGTGCTTAAAAACAACTTGCGCGAACCAACACGAAGATTCGGTATCTAACGTGGATGCTTCGAAGTGTGAAAGAAGGATGCGCATGCTTAAGAGTTCGTCTTGCAGCAGTCGAGCTGCTCTTACAGTCAAACCCCTTGATAAGAGGCACTGATATGAGACACCAACGCGCCTACAGTAAAATACGGGTTGATAAGAAAATGTATATGACGTACCTTGCTTATAAGAGACATCTCGTATAAAAGACAAGAATTGCTGTCCGAAGCATGCCTTTTATAAAAAGGTTTAACTGTATTAGGCAAAAATCGTGCCCTTCCTAAAATAAACGTGCATCGATTTCGTAATAATTTGTGTGTTTTTGCGCTTATTAGAGCACAACACGATTGTAGAATCATGTAGTTGCTTTTACGATTTTTGTGCAAATTTTAATGCTTAAGCTTCAACGACTTTTCAAGATAACGAATGACTTTCAGCGGCCCCTTAAGATTTGTTGTATCGAGAATTCATTGTATACACACACACATGGGCTACCTTGTGCATATGTATGTTGTTACTGTGGCCCCTTCTTTGAGATGAAGCACAACTGAACGAAACAAGAGATACTGCTTGTGTGACAGCATAAAGACAGCAAACAACAATCTTTGTAAAGTGAAGGCCACCAGTCTCTCAGCAGAAACTGAAAACTAGATGAAAAAAAGGGAGAGTCTCAAATTTTATTTTGCCCAAGGAGAATCTATCGGCAATGCTGTGGTGTTTTCATTGTGACATTCATTGCAGATTGTTAAGTGCTCGCAAACTGAAACACGACAGATCAAGTCTGAGCAGTGCAAGTACTTTTGTTTCTGTCTTAATTGTTTCTTGTCATATCGACGTTATTTGGACTCGAACACTTACACCGGACCCTTCAGTGCGGGCCTTGAGCGTCCTGATTCGCAGTGACATACGATTACCTCGAGAATTTGCGCATGCCAGTCGTTATGCTAAAAGTTTTGATGTCGCATTTCACTCCAGTCAGCACTGTACATAGGAACTTGATTTATTGGTGCAATTCTTTGAGAAGCAGTGTGTTGTGAAAACAGCGTTTATCAATGCAAGCTACTTGTTAAAGCAACAGCTTCAAAGAAACCAGCGGAAAGTTGGCAAAATTTCAAAAGGCAGCAAATGGCAAAAATATAGAAAAAGTAAAGAAAGAAGTTGTGAGTGGCAAAGCAACAAACAAAGAGCTGTGTGCTACTTGTGTCGGTGCAACGACATTTCATTCTTTACTTCAGTGAAGAGCAGTCAAGGTTGGCCGCCAGGAAGTATGCTCGCATCATCCAGAAGTTGGGTTTTGACGTAAGTATTTTCTAATTGCATTTCTAGTGCATTGCAATGAAAGGTCAATCGGTGATGAGTAGAGACCTGATTATAGGCAAATGCCTATATGGTTATTTGCGTTCTTATGGTGCCACTTTGATATATGAGCATGAGTTAGAGGTAAAGAAGAGCTTTTATAGTTTTTTTATATGCCTATAAATGCCTATTTTTCACATTTGTGCCTAAATTTCTGTAATGGCCTATAAATGCCTATCTTCAAAAACGGCACTTATGTGAATGCTATTTAACCTCAAAGTTTGTTTTCGAGTACAGTTGGAGACTCGTATTCATGTTAGCAGGCAGATCAGAACTCTGTGGGGTGCAGCCTATTCTCATCTCTCAAGTTCCTTTCAGCATTGTCAAGGCTACAAGGCTTTTTATCCAATAGGAAGGCCAATTAGCCTCTACACATGTAGTATTTATCCGCGTCGCATCGTCTGCTTGGCACCTCTCGGGTGTCTGCTCGCACGGGTATGGAACAGGAGATGCTTTTGTGCAGCCGCAGGACGAGAGAGAACGAATGCGAAATTGTGGAGTGTCATCAAGAGAAAGTACAGTGTAGATTTAAAAAAAAATCGTATGTTTTTTTGTTTTGTCATTTACTTCTTAAATGGCGCTTCACTAGGTCACACGAGAAATCTTACTTAAACACTGGAAGTTGTTGCGTGCCCAATGAAAAGCTTTGCACCACTTGAATTTTTCAATTGGTTCATTACAAGCATCGTAAACATGATGCGAGGAGGTGAGCTTGAAACCTTTGCTATTTGTCTAGTGTAGGCTTCGCAAGCCAAATTCCTTCCCTGCATGCCCTCCTCGGTATCGGAGCGACTCGGAGCCGGAAGATCACACGACAAAGATGCATCAACTTGTCATGCGCACGCAAGGTTACATTTGTAGGACATATTGATGCTAGGTCATGCACGCAGGCGACGTTGTGCCGTTTCAACGTTCTCTCTATCGTAGTGGCTGTTTCTGTGAGATGGATGCCTCTTTGCGAGCACGTTTCAGAGTGGCTGGCATGGATCATGTATTCTTACCATGATACACAGCGTCGAGCCACTGGAACTTCTCTAAGAGATGATGCACAAAAAACGAGCCAAGCGTTGTGCATGTTGACGCCAGCACGATGCAAGAATGGCAAGAACACCCACGCAAACGAAACGGAGGCAGCTTAGTCGTGCATCTCGCACGATACGAAGTTATAAAAAAAGAAAAGAAAAAAGGGTGCATAGAGTCTGTTCGTTTTAATATTTCTGTCAAGCTTCATTCTCCTTTTCAGGCAACAGATTGCACAAAGGGACACACACCTCCTTCAATAATTCTCGCAGTGTCACTTACTACTTTGACGCACGCAGGACCATACCTTGTTGTATACATCCCTTCCAACATATTTGGGCGCGCGACCGTGAGATGAAGGTCAAGTGCGTTCAGTCTGACATTTTCACCTCTTTCCAGGGCGCATAGTATGTCAAACTTTGGCAGATGAAATCAGTCTGACATTTCACCCCTTTTCAGGACGCGTAGCATTGCAAACCTTGGCATGATGGAATCCTAAGTGCCCAGTGCGTGCACTCCTCTTGCCTGCTCGAAATTCTCAAACATGGTGGAGCGCACTTTAAAACAGAAGGGATTGACCCTGTGTGGTTAGACCAATCTAATACGAGGCAAAAAGACCCTCTGGCCTATTACGCTACTGGCTATTTGCCCCTGTGTTGCTCTTCTCAGCCATGACCCAGGAGTGTGCTTATTCGACAGTTGAACACTTAACTCGCCATGCCGCACTAGAAAAAGGAGGGACCGAATTCTGCAAACCCTGCAGGAAAAATGAGTAACTTGTGCACAACTAAAGGACCACACCTAAATTTCGACCTCTGGGAGGTTTAGGGGCCCTTCAATAAACTGTACAGTCTATAAACTATAAGTTTGGAAAAGGCAGCTATAAATGAAAGTCTTGTATGTGAGTTAATTGTAACGATTGTAGGCTGTTCTGCGTATTAATCACACTGTGTTCACTCTGAAATTTGATGCTTGACAATTGCTTTGCAGGCCAAGTTCCTTGATTTCAAAATTCAGAACATGGTTGGCAGCTGTGACGTTCGTTTTCCCATACGTCTCGAAGGCCTTGTCCTCACACACAGCCAGTTTTCAAGGTTGGAACGTTTGTATTCACTGTTGCATATTCTTGCAAGACTTGGTTGATGCAAACAGCTTGCAATGTGTGTAGTCATGTGCGTCTGGAATGACTAGCTTGTTTTCAACTAGTCATTTCAGACTGCCACGATTTCGCACGTTCTACGCTGCTCAGTCTTATCAAGCTAGCTTACTTTTATGTTTCTCTAAGGCTATTTCTTACCAAGTTTGGACTTAAATGGGTACTAAAAAAACATTTCGCAGCTGAAATAGCCCATAAGATTGATTACCATGAACATGCGTATTTCATCTGCGAAATATCAACAATGTATATAGCTCGAAAGGTTTCTTGTACAGTCAAATCCGGCTACAACAAAATTGACGGGATGCGTGAAAAAATTCATTGTAGTGAAATTTCATCTACAGACTACAAAATTTGGTAAGATTTGATAACTGTGACTCTTTTTTTGGTCCTAGCCAGGGCTAAATCCAAAAATGTTTCTTTTGGGAGGGGGGGGGGGAAGGAGGGTGGCCTGGGCCCGTTTTGCCACCCCCTCGCCACACCCCTGATCCCAGCAAGCGCATGCATTGAACTCTCACTAACTCAGCCGTAGCTGGGCAAACACCGAGTGGACGTATTTTCTAGACTACAGCGATGAAAATACTATACAGAAAATTTGGATCGGTTACGCAAGAATTTTGGTGTGCTAGTTGGCTTCACCGCATGGCTTCACATAAATGCAAAAAAGGCAGCCTTTTGTCAATATGCGAATAGTTTTCTCTTCCTTCCGCGGTTTGCGGTTGTGGGTGCCGGTTATATGCAGGAGTGGGTTATGCGTAAGAAAATACGACATTCAGACTACCCTTGGGGTGTGCCGAGTGCACTACTCTGCACTACTATAGGCATGAGTGAACAACAGAAAAGCCGTAACACTTAGTGTAATTTGATGGCTTTATTACCTTTAATCTACGGCTGTATTACCTGCGCAGCTTCAGATCGTATTCGCTATAGATGAACAAGATGATAGTGACCGCGGTTGCCTGTGCAGCGGTACAGACAGTGTACAGAAACAGTGTACAATGTCTTGTAAGACTAAAATTTCAGAAATGCATCTCGCGATTGGCAACAGCGAAGGAGAAATTTATTGTAAGCTGGTGGTTTTATTATAGGAAAAGTGTAATGCATTTGCAGTAATATCTGGCTATGTGCTTCAAATTGTTGATGAATTCTTACTTGCGCTGGAAGTTCCTAGCAACCTGGTTGGCTCTATCGGTAGTCTGACCATCCCAGAAAGGCATCTGTCCTGGGTTCATTTATCAGATGAAGATGAAATTTTTCGCAGCGAAGAAGCTTAATTTTAGAGAAATTCGTATGGATTTTTTTTTTGCTTTGTGTTGAAAACTGGTTGTGCTGAGTTTATGTTTCTTGGTGCTTTGGTTGTGTCACTTCTTGTTTTTTTCCTGCACTTTTGCTTGTTTTGAGAGGTATGCCATCTAGTTTCGGTATTTGTGAGCTTAGCTCTGTTCCAGCAACCTGAGAAAAAAAAACAAATGCGCATATTTTCACATTTCAGTTACGAGCCCGAGCTCTTCCCGGGACTCATCTACCGTATGGTGAAGCCTCGTATCGTCTTGCTCATATTTGTATCTGGAAAAGTCGTGCTCACAGGTAAGCGGTGCGCCCCCTCCACTGAAAGCGGTTGCATCCCTATCACTCTCAGAAGAGTTCCTTGCATGTCAGTTATCATGAGCCCAATTTACACAAGCAGCTGCTAGAGAAAGTTGTGCAGTTATTGTTAATGGCTGGTACTTACCATTTTATTGCTCTCTTTGAAATGACGCAGAGCTCTCTTAAGAGCTATAACAAACCTGCTGCAGCTGGTCATTGAGCTGTTGTCAGAGAAACTGAAATGGTGACGTGACTTTGGGAATGGTAAATTTGCTCAAAATGCTAAATTTTACTTTTTATTTTTTTCTGCAATTCTGAGGCCATGCTTTACGCCATGGTGAAATATTAGACCAAAATTAGAAGTCGAGAAAAAAGCATTTCACTAGTGTGCTGTCATTAAAAATCCATGACAAAATTGAGCTTTAGAATATGCAAATCATGACGCTTTCCCTTGGCACAGTGCCACCGCATTGGTGTCATTGTAAAGAGGACAGATCGAAGCTCAAGATAGCCTCAATGCTGCATTCATCTAATGAAAAATAAAGCCAGCCTCCTTCCGAGTCTGATTTTTTCGCAGTCTAGCTCATTTTTTCTTGAGCGCCATTTTGTTAGTTTTCATTTTTGGAGCAGTTGCTGCCAGTCATCCCTGTGCCATTTCACAACAGATGAAAATATAGAGCCATGCTGTTTTCTTCGCTTAGGTCCTGAGACATTGGTGAGTGCCGTAAAGCTGTCCATATTTGAGCGCACATCATACAGATTTTTATAATTTACTTTTTGTAAAAGTTGTTTCCAAGACAATATGTGTCCGTAAATGTTTTTGCAAGACAATATGTGCAGGACTTTCCAAAAAGTTCCTTGTGTTCCTATTTAAGTATTAAGGAGTAAGCCAATAGCATTACTCTGTGGAGGGGTGCTTCGTGGAAGCGATGACCTTTAGAGCGTGCCAAATGTGAGCCTGTCGCGCCATCTTGCCACTAATTACGAAAACGCACTGAAGTATCGAAGCTCTGAAGACCTCCAAATGGTCTATGGTGTATATATATGGCTTGCCGTTAGCACTTCCGACAACGAACGCTTCGTGGTGTAGTGGCTAGCGCGGCGCACTGAGAGTCAAAAAGTTCCTGGTTGGATTCCGCCCGAGAGATGCTTGCTTTTTCTTTTTTTCTTTGAAATCAGTTGGTATGTGATTTATGTCATATCTGTGACGGATATACAGTCAGCAGAGGCATGGTGGACCCCAGCATAAAGCACTTTCGCGTTAAAATAAAATTTATGAGCAGGGTATCCCTGCAGTGAGTGTGCTGGTTACAAGGTTTCCCTGTCAGGCTTCCACTGAAGATTTTTTGTACACAAATGTGTACAATGCTTGTTTTCACTGATTCTGTTGATTAGTGGCTCATGAAGCACAATATACATGGACTTTTTGATGAATTGAACCTTTTGCATAATAAGTGTGCCTTTGCAGAGTATTGTCAGATGCTTTGCTGAAGGCACTTCATGCTCAATGAGTAGTTTGTTCTGTGGTTCAGCGAAGCAACAACAAAAGCATAATTTGTTCGCTCAGAAATGAACATAACCCAAAATGAATTCACACTTTGTTTCTGGTTTGAGATTTGGTTCTATATATAAAAAATAAACAGAGCATGAATGGCTTCAGGATGAATTGATATTCGAGTACAACCTAATTAGAATGAATTACTATAACACTCGTAAATTACTATATATGATGACACATTTACAGGCAGTCCTTCATGGGTAGCATCCAAAAAATTTTAACGTGATAGCATTAAAGAGCTCGTCTTGCAGAAATTCTGGCTGCTGTTGGCTAGAAATTCACATAGACAGTAGTGCCAGATTTTTGTTTGGGTATTTTTGTGATAAATTCTATGGCTATCGCGTTCAACTCTTAAGGGTCTCCCAATTTTTGTTTGCAGGTGCCAAAGTGAGGTCTGAAATCTACGAGGCCTTTGACAACATCTACCCGATACTGAAGGGTTTCCGCAAGCAGTGACCGGTGCAGCGACTCGCGGAGGAAGAGTTGATGTGCTTCAGCATCATCATAGTGCATTGTGTAAATAAGTGTTCGCGATTCATGCACTGCCAAGGCCACAATGATGGTTTGGGAAAGAACTCTCACGTGCACTTGCAACGTTTGTGGCATGTTTCGGGACTGATTGTGCATGCTACAAGAAAGGACAAGAGACTTTTCTAAATTGTGTTGTGTGGCATAGTGCAGACTTTTTCTGATGCGCAAGACGCTTGTAGGCTGTGGTTAACTGCGTCTGTGTCTCTTTCACTTGTAAATAGAATTAGAAAAAATATATTAATTGTACCTTTCCATTTTTATAGTTGGTCTGCATCGAGTTGCAAGTTTTGCTCAGCTTGAAACTTGTTTCAATTTGAGTTCTTCCGGAGCTGGCAAAAGCAATGATTTTCCGTATTCGTAGTGATTACAATATGGGTGGCCATTTATATGTAAGTGCTACTGCCATGTTTGTTCTGTTGTTTTTAAAAGTCCCCCAGTACAGTGGCTTTAGCAAAGCATTGTGCAACTTCAGCTAGTAAGGTAACGTGGTAAGTCCTACACCCGCCATGTACTTTAGGCAAAGCTTACATACCTTTTTCTTCATAACCACAAGAGCTACAGTAATTATTTTACTATCATTGTGATCTTGAGCCGTCCCTCTTCTTACCGAAACAGATGTAGCACTGAAAATTGTGATGCTCATTTTTTGTAAACTTTTTCCTTCAGGTACCTAATTATCACTCGATAATAGCTTTTAGATGTCGTGTTGCAGAAGCACACTTCCTCACACAACAATAGATCTGCATCAGCATATTGTCTATTACGTTATCTAAATATAGGCCAAATTCTTTGATTCTTAGATACTGTGCTTGCTGAGAAAAAAGAACATTAGTAGAAAAAAGCATGTTTTGAGATAATTACTGTAAAGTTGAAAATCTGCATTATTTCAAAAGTACAATGAGATAACAGCAAATTGACAGACCCGTTCAATAAGCATGAGCCAGATACTCATTCCCAATATCATTTTTTTCTTTTTGTGTTGAAACTTCTTGCCTGGCGAGCCTGCTATGTAGCTGTGTCAGCGCAGTACTGTTGACACAGTTCAAGGGTGCGCGGACAGTAATTCCAAAATAGTTCAGCACATTCACACGTGCTATATTGCCATCATCAAAAGTGAACACAGCATCAAAAGTGCATGCATATTTACCGTGTTTGGTGCCCGAGGAAGACGTTATTTTTGGAGTGCGCTCCTACACGACTGTCCGACGACTCGTTATCGTTTTCAGTTTTCCTGTGGAGTCGTTTAGCAAGTAATTTTCGATTAGCTAGTTCCAGATCATTTGGCTTAACAGCCGCTATAAAAGATGCTGGAAGGTGTTTCTGAACGAATGGTTCACCATTCAACTGGGCTTGATTGAATTTACACCAAGTTTAGGCATCCTTCGAGCAAAGGTCATATGATTGATTGGTATCCTTTGATGCCATGTGAAATTATGTGAACTGGACAGCTTTTTGCATGTCCTCCAAGCTCTATTTCTTTTAATGGCCCAATGATAATAGCTTTAGTGCTTGCCAACTAGGACACCACTAAGAGGTCCCCGACCAGATATAGATTTCCTGACAGAAAGCTCGATGCCCATGCTTTCTTTCATTTTCGCAGTTCTGGCCCCATTCTTTTCCGTATGTGCCGAATGCACTCCAGCTTCCAAACTGTAACTTCTCCATATGGCAACTATGCTTGAACTGCAAAGGATCCATTCCTATATAAGATTGGGGGCATGGCAGGCCATTGCACGAGCTTTAAAATACGTAATTTTTAGAAAAACAAAATTATAAACACAAAGAAATGACTGATTCTGGTTCAGAAAAAGTTGCAGATTTCAAATAATGCTAAGATAAAAAATGATTTTTAAAACTATTTTGTTTACCCTTTCCCTTAAACAGACATCACAATGGATAAGCATGTGTGTTTGTTTTGCAGCTCCAGAATGAAACACGTTTGATATAAATTTCATGCACACAGCTGTGCATACACTTAGTGAGCATCTAGTTCCATGTTTTCTACCTGAAAAGATTGTAGCTTAGAAAAAATGAATTGTAAAAGATGGTACTTTGAATGCATATACATATCCGCTGCATATATTTTGTACAGGTATGACTAATTGAAGTGTTTAATTTTTCTCTCACGATCCAGCATGTGCTGTAGCATTTCCATCATTAGAGCTTTACCAAAGCACTTGTCACAATGCACAAATCTTATTTATACCGACAAATACGTGTTTTAGAAGCAGTCACAATTTTTTGAGTGGAACTACTGCTTTAGTCGCGGAGCGAATTGGCTTTTGCGCTTCGGTCATCTAGGCGGGACCTTTCCTGCCTTCTTAAGTTGTACCCGACTATAGGTATAATGTCCACAGCATGGTTCTGTAAAAATGCAAGCATACAGTTGGCCATAAAATAATTTTATCCTGCATGTGTGTGTACTGCCTTTGCGGTGAGGTTCCTGCTGTTGGCTTCCTTCTCCGAGTGGATGTGCAATTCTTCGCACATGTATAGGCATGTCTAGTTATCGCTTTTGCCTGTGACTCTACCTTGGTGCAACAGGTGTAATTAAACTTTGGAGCAGACTGGGAGAATGCTAATGCTTCTACAGCGCTCTTTGTACAGAAGAGTGACCGCAATTACCACTGTGGCAACATCTTGCATCAGAATTGTGATAATCTACAACTGCCTTGCAGAAGCAATAACCTGGCATCTCTTGAAGCAGGAGCGTCTGTCCAAATATTCTGTTCACAGCTGGCATGCACTCCCGTGGTCCCGTATTATTGCGTGGTTGACTGTACATGCGCTCCTCGGTAAGCTTTAAAGGAGTGCCGACGCAATTTTGAGACGTCTTGAAAGCGGCGCTTTTCGTTTTCTTGGTATGCAAGCGTTAGCATTATCCACCTACCAGAATTGCACAGCACATGTAAAATATGTTAATATTTAATTTTAAAGTTTGCATCTATGAGTATTAAGCCAGCCTCAACGTAATGGACATTGTGTCGAGTCAACACAGTTCCACTGAGTTTGCAAACTCTACGTGCTGTGTGCAGCAGGAATCATTGTGCAGGTCACGGGATGCCAATTCACTTAACTCACTGTTGTTTACATTCATCATGGACAGATGAGGGTTCCGTCTCTAGAGAGAGGGGAGTTGCTATCTAACCATCACATCACCTGCCATGACACGTCACTGAGAAGTCACTCCCCATGATATCGAACCAAAGATATTTTTTTTGCGGTAGTGCTTTTACAGTTATATTTGTGCACCTCCAGGCTCCGCAGTACTCTTTAGGGTTCTCGACACCAGTGTTTTCACTTATAGTATTTGAAATTCGTTGTCGGTACTCCTTTAGCTCTAGCTTGACTAGTACTAGAGTAAACTAACGAATACAAGCCATGTCTGATTTCATGCAACATACTAAATGATTGTTTACAATAACGAAGTGGTAATGCTACGGAAATGATTCCTAGGACACAGGTGTTAAAACAAAATGGCTAAAGATATATATTTTCCATAAAACATGCAACAATCGACATAACTAGTAAAAACGGTGCGCCTAAGACATATTTAAAATGCACCGTGGCACTCTCACTTTTAAAATACTTTGTAAATTTAACACGATAGCTCGAAAAAATACAGAAAAAAATTGGGCGCGCGGGCACAGATACAAACAACAGAAAATATACTATGTAGTTTGTGTTGGCGTCGGCACGCCTGTGTCGGGAGCCCTAATGTTACGCTTCAACAGCGGCCGTTGCGGCCTTCCAAAAAGCCTCGCAAGTCTTGGAGCACTGTCTTGTGAAGTTCGCCCATGTCGTGCGTCCCGTCCAGGTAAGTGACGTCGATATGGGCGTCCTTGATCTCCTGCAAGTTCTTGATGTACATGGGCCACACGACTTTATCGAAGTACCCGGGCACGTCAGCCGGGTCGTAGGTGCGAGTCAAGCGCCTCGCGTAACACTCCTCTCGCGGCAGCGTAAAGAAGTAGCGCTTATCGAACAACTCGTTCAGTCTGGGATTATTGAAGATGATGTGGCCGTCGATTATGAGCAGTCGCAGACCAGACGGCTGACGCGACGTGCAGGCAGTGACGGCGTCCATCAGCGCGTCCCAGTCGACGCTCGACAGAGCCTCCCAGTTGGCGTGGTTCAGTTCGGTGATCATTTCGTGTTTTGGGTCGAACTTCGAGCGGAAGAAGTCGTCCTGATGCAGCACCACGCAACCCTCGAAGGCCTTTCGAAGGTGGTTCACGAGCGAAGTCTTGCCGCCGTTCGTGACGCCGGAAACTCCGACGAACATCCAGTTGTTCAGCATGGCGATGGTGAAGGCGCTGCGTATCGCACAGTTGGCACGGTGACGAAGAGCCGCGAACTTCACAGATAAATCGCCCGCATCTTGCAGGAGGTACGCGTACCACGTGTATTGACGCTGTTAAATTCACTTTTCACAGATGCGTAATTCTTAGGCGTGCGAGATCGCTCCTAACTTTACTGCAAGGTCGTATGTAGCGATCTTATCATTTCAAGACCGACTGAGCGACACGTTCATTGCCACCGCGATTGCAGCAGACGATTACTGGCAAGGTTCCTTTTGGCGTTGCATAAGTCAGTTGCCAGACTTTGGGATGGTTGTTGCCAAACTGCCGCTAAATTTGGCTAAGCAATTTTTTAGTGTAGTTGTGGCTTCTCCGGAAAGAGTTTGGTGCCATCCGGTAGCGTCCTCCGTCGTAGCGCGCGGTCGACGCGACACGATTTGTAGGGCTGCTAAGGGCAATATATGAGGGTAACAAGGCACACATTACATGTGAAGGGCGTACATACACAGAGCCCGTGTACATTCGAAGAGGTTTAAAACAGGGGTGCCCTCTTTCGCCATTGCTGTTCACACTGTACATTAGAGGAATGGAAAGACGACTAGAGGAGAGTGGATTGGGCTTTGATTTGTCACACCGAAGCAATGGAGTGTTAGTGGAGCAACGGATTCCGGGATTGATGTACGCAGACGATATAGTGCTGCTGGCGGATAATGCGGAAGAACTTCAAAAACTGGCTGACATTTGTGGTGATGAGGCAACGTACCTAGGCCTACATTTTAACCCAAAGAAATCTGGAGTCATGGTGTTCAACGAGGAAGCTCATGTAGCACCAATAAGGATACAACAGGAAGCCATACCATTAGTAAATAAGTACAAATACTTGGGGATCTGGCTTAATGAAGGAAAGGGCTACCTGAATGCTCATGAAGAACACCTCAAACTGAAAGGGAGACGAAATGCAGCAGTAATGAAACATAGAGCACTTTGGGGACACAATAAGTACGAGGTAGTACGAGGCATCTGGAAAGGGGTAATGGTGCCGGCGCTCACGTTCTCTAATGCCGTATTATGCTTAAAGTCAGATATCCTGTCGGGGCTGGAGGTTAACCAAAAGGCAGTCGGCAGGTTAGCTCTGGGAGCTCACAGTAAGACTACAAACGAGGCTATACAAGGCGATATGGGTTGGGCTTCATTTGAGGCGAGGGAAGCACAAAGTAAAATACGGTTTGAGGAGCGACTTAGACATTTAGATGAGAAGAACTGGGCAGCCAGAGTGCACAGATACCTGTACCTGAAAAGTGTGGACACCAAATGGCGGAAGAGGACGCGAAAGCTGGCGACTAAATATAACTTGACCGCGGCAAATAAGCAAAGGGGGCCAGTTAAAAAGCAAGTGAGGGAAACAGAGACGCTCATGTGGAAAGAGAGGATGGAAAAGAAGGGATCGCTGGGAATCTACAAGGCAAGCAAACAAGAGATCCGGAAAGAGAACTTTTATGACAACAATAAAGGTAGTGCGTTGCTCTTTGAGGCGCGGGCTGGCTGCTTGAGAACTCTAACTTACAGGAGCAAATATTCGTCACAGGATGAGACATGTGTTGGATGTGGCATAAATAAAGAAACAATCGACCACATAGTCATGGAATGTCAAAAGATTCAGCCGGATAGAAATGGGGGGAAGGTCACACTTCCTGAGGCGCTGGGCTTCGCGGTTGATGGAAGCATTAACTGGTCAGCAGTAGGTATTACTAAGCAGCGGCTGGAGTATTGGTGGAGGAAAAGCAGAGAAGTCGATAAAATAACATCCCAGCCAAGAGTAGCGGCTGGGCAAAATTAAAAAGACATCCGAGTTGAGGGACAGAATTTAAACTCGAACTATTAAGGTAGGCTAGATGGCGCATGCCGTCACCCCGATTCAAAGGGGAGGCCTTTAATCATCATCATCATCATCATCACGATCAGCTGAGAAAAAAAAAGTAAGGGGGGCAGCGCATCACCTCCTGCGACTCTATTCAGTTTTTCCCGTCATTCCTAATACTGAGACGCGATATCTTATTCGCACAGCTGCGCACACAGCAAGAGAACGCGCCTCGACTTCTGCTAGGCGCGGTTCATTCCGTTATTTAAATTGGCCTCTTAATTGCGTAGCAGCGCTGCGCTCGACTTCTGCTAGGCGCGGTTCATTCCGTAAATAAAACGAATTCTGTAATGTGCGGTTCATTTCATTAATTAAAACGGCCTCTGCTGTGCCACGCTCGACTACTGCTAGGCGCGGTTCATTCCGTTAATTAAAACAGCCAGCGTCGCTCGTTCACGAAATGCTCCGCGGATGGCACCAGATTCTCACAAAGAAGCCACAAATACAGAAAAAACTTTTGCAGTCAAATTTAGCGGCAATTTGGCAACACTGACCCTTCCAGTCTAGCAACCACTTATGCAACGCCAAAAGGAACCTTGCCGACGATTATGCGTGACACCGTTTCGACGGCAGACGTGCACATAAGCAATTCACTGAACGTGACGAAAATGACTTGTTTCGGGCATCAAAATTTGTTCGGCATAAAACAACCTGTAAAAACACTGCTTTAAAAATGATTTTGCGCTACGAAGGACTTGTTGCTGGATATTGAGCTTTTAGTATTGCCCAAATTCTTATCTCAATAAAAAGGCAAAATTTAAAGTCTCGAAGGCTATGCTTTAGCGGTTGCAGAACGTCATAAACGCCATGTATAATCTTTTTTTCAATTTTGGCGCAAATTAATAAATAAACCAAACTACAAAAAGCAATAGTATTTTTAATTACTTCGTTGCAAAAACTGCAGTGCGTTTTTGAACCTTTAACTTGTTTTGTAGCCTCCGAGATTTCATATTTCTCAAACAACGTTAATCTCAAGACCATAGACATTAACCTGTGAGGCGTCTAAACGTGCTTTTTTGTAATAAAACACAGCATTTGAAGGTAATTAATAAGTTTTAATGAATCTGCCACTGCAAAAAGTTGCAACCACCCCAGTGATCACAATTTCGGAAGCCATCAAAGAGCCAAAGAAAGAATATGGACGTTAACCATTCCTTGTGTTGTGGAAGAATGTGCCTAGAAGTGTGGCAGCTTGGGCTAGTTGGTATGGCATGATGAACAAAACGACGACACAGAGACAAGACATAAAGACACAAAACGTGGCGCACTCGGTCGTTACAGAGATCGCCGTGGGAGGCCGCTACTTGTCCACGCGTGCGCGCGCGATCACACTAAAACCTCGCATTTGAAAAAAGAGAAAAAAAAAAATGCTCAAAGTCGCGAAGCGTGCGTGACGTTTTTCTGTGGCCCTCACATCCTTCCCTGCTGAGCTGAGAAACGAGAGAAGAGAGAATTCAATTGCAGCATGCGACAAACCTTTGTAACTCCACTCGCACTGGACGGATTCTTCAAAATTTTGCGGCGTTGAATTCGTGAGACAGTAAGCTCTTCCAGTGAATTTATTCCATGGTTACTTGAAAAAGTGTTTCAGGGCCCCTTTAAAGCGCAGTAGCTTTGAAATCGCACGCATGTACTTGTCGACGGAACCACTTGATGGGATCAGCGCCGAGCCATGGAGAAAGCGGTGCCCCCTTTCCTCTTCCTGTTCCTTCTATCACAAAAGGGACAGGTCACCGGAGAGCTGTGGGCCTGCTGATGGCCGTCCAAATATGTGCTCCCGGCACGGAAAGTGGGGTGCTATGCAGCCCGACGAGGCAACGTGTTTGACGAAAACTACTGCAATGGTTCCCGGCCAGTACGTTTTGCTTGAGGAGAGTGGTGTCACAGCAATAACAACCAGCCCCGCTAATTGAGAGTGGCGAGCGGTGGTCCTTTTGTTGCTCCGGTAGTACGAGCGTGAGACCCATGACCCAGTCGCCTTCTCACACCAAGAAAGGGACACGTTGGCGTCATAGGTAATGCTTAGTCAAAAACGTTGACCTGGGCAGGCGTGGGCTCAGTGCAGACGAAATCTTCGTCTGGTTTCACGATATTTTCGTCACGTCGAAAATGCTAGTCCTGTAATTATTCTTAATAAGCGTCATAGTTTCCTTGAGTTTCTTGAAACTGCCTCGACACCGTCTTTCCGGAACTCTTGTGCCAGAACGATCGAACACAACACTTCAACAACCTCTAGAAGCGCTGATATATCTCTATAGAGTTCAATGCCCTTTCGTAATCTGCCTTATAGAGGAGTTTTTTATTTGGCAGTTTTATTAATTATTTGATTACTGGCATGACGGTGATCTATAGTAAAACACCATGTACAATTCAGATTATCTCTCTGATTATCTCGTACAACATGTGGAAAGGAGGTTAATCAGTCGTACATTTTGTGGATGAATGTTGCAATAGATCACGTCGTGCGTAGATAAAGTCATTTCATATATGCGCGTGATGGGATCTTATCGGGAGAAGAGGAAGGGTGTGATGACGGTTTTTACGTCACTCGCATGACGATAAACGTGATGATCTTTAGCGAACTATACCTTATAAGAAACCAACCAAAACCACGGAAACAGTTAAGGAACCAGACAGGGCAAGTGCTAGACTAACAACTAAATAATAATAAAGGAAGCCCAGCCCCCCACGTGCATCAACTATCGGCGAATGCGTAAATAGGCTATCTGAGCCTAGCAACGTTACAAATTTAACAGCACAAGGCCAAGAATTAAGCATGTCAAGGTGTTACGTACAGTGCGTTTTCACAAAACGCCAAAATATCAACGCCACGTGCACCCCTTGACTAAAAACTGAGGGATCACGTCACATATGTCACTAAATTTGCCTTTTTTTATTACTTCGAAATGCTTCACAGCTTTCATGTTTAATCTTATTTCTCAATTCATTTATCATGGCACCTTGATTTGAAATCAGGGACGCAGCTACAACTGTTGCAGCGCAGACGCACGCAACTTTCGAAATTTCTTTGTCATGCGGCCGTGTCTACAAATGTCAGAAGGGCCGATCAGCTTCAATGACAGGCTGCGTCATTCTACTCCCCACGGTTACACTCACCTCTGCACTGCAATGGCTGTGCGCCCTTGATTTCAATTCAATAGGTGTCATTGGCAGAAGAATAAAAGAAAAAAAAAACAAGCTTGAACGTAAAATATCTAAAGCTTTCTAAATTAAAACAAAACATGGCAAAGCGTCATGTGTAAATCATCCTTCAGTTTTTCTTACAGATAAGGAATTCGCGCTGCTACATACTGATTGCACGGTGGCGTCGATATTCTAGTG